AAATCCAATCAAACAACTGTATAAGTCAGCACCTCACTTATGCTATTTAGCACGTCTTCTTCATTTTTTGCCTTCTCTTTTTCTTTTTCCTCATCAGGGGCAGAAACATCAGTATCCTGTTCCTCTGTCTTTTCGTGGACTGGCGCCAAGTTATCATGTGACAAATGGGATGTCTTTCTCCCATTGGTTAAAGTTACACTGGCACCATGATTAACCTGACCCAGGTCCTGGCTCAACCGAGTGTCCGAGGTGGTCTGGCTCGAAGATGTTCCCGCATTACAAACGTACCGCTCGCCCATTTTGTGATTGGCTGTTTGAGTGTTTCTTTCTGGTCTAAAAAATATAATGTAAAGTTTTGGGATAAAGATACATCCCATGCAGGCAAACGCTGCCACGAACAAGGTAAAAGCGACCACAAGGGTGCGGTTGTTTCCCACAACAAAGCGATACGTTAGAATAAACGCCACGAGAAGGATGCAAAGAGCTATGGTGGAGAAACTCAGGGATTTTGCCTCGTTGAAATTCTCGGTTAATCGTCTCTCGCGGAATGCTAAAAGCGTTGCTAACACAAGTACAGTTACAGGATAACAGAAAGCAATAATATGAGAAGCTGGAAAACTTTCGTAGCACTCAAGTAATCGCGTGTTATCTTCTTGGTTCCGAAAACGAGCCACTGTTGAGGCTGTTGCTTGCCATGCGATTATCAAAATTCCTTGAATCCCAACTACTGCGCCCACTTCAAGAAGCTGTAGATAATTCGTACTCATGCTAGTAACACGTGAGACCGCTGACTGAAGTAATTTCGTCGAAGTGTTCGACTTGGCTAAGAAAAAAGCCGAGTAGAACACACAAATTAACAGCAGTAACACACTGACAGCTGTGCAAGAACTATTAGTTGGTTTACTTGTTACTTGAACAATGGCCAAGATAAAAGACAGGTACAAAGTAACGAAGAACAGAGTCAGGAGATACAGACCGGAGTCCATAACAACTGGTGTTTTACGCTTTTGGTACAAAATAACTGTCACAGTGGTCAAGATAACGATGCCAACGACCCCAAGCGTTATTAAAGCAATACCGGCGGGGTCGGACGATTTAAGGTAGACTACCGGGCGTAAAACACATTCAGTTCTTTCCTCATTTGCGAAATGGGTTTCTTTACACGGCGAGCAATTAGTGGAACCCGACTTTGAGCTCACAGTGCCTTTGAGACATTTTTGACAGTTCCAGCAGCATTCTGATTGGCCAACCACTCGTTCACCTGGTCGGCACACACGGAAGCAGGTGGACAGCGGCTTCTTATTTGAATTCCAGTTGATCAAGCTTTCGTTGACCATAAAACTTACAACATGATTCTCTTTACTCCAGTACCCAACTTCAGCGTATTCCAGGCGTTTGTCTTTGTTTAGTTGAAGATTTCTTATGACGTACTCACTGGCAGTGCGTTCGCCATTTCGGTTAAATTTGACTCTGTTGAAATCAAATCCTTGGAAATGAACCCTTGACGCGGACTTGAACAATTTCTCCGGGGTAATAATCTGTGAGCTCGCGTTTGAACACTGTTCTGGCGAATACGACTCGTTGCAAGTAAAAATATCATGCAATGCATGGCCTACAACAAAAACAGCATCTATAACATTAGCTACGAAATCTTTGCCGATTTCGTGGCCTGAGGGAAGCACTGCGTTAAGACTGCATTTAGGTGTCGTGGGTTGCAACGGATCAGAGTATGATCTGAGGGTCGTATGGCAATGCAAACTTTCCTCCAAGTACTCGGTAAACCACGAATTATTCACAGCCTCTCGAACTGAATATTCCCGTACAAACCTTTCGAATCCTTCCACCTGTTTTGAGCGAATTGAGAAGCTAAACAGTCCCAGTAGCATAGACTGGCTCACGTTCAAATTGGCCATCTCAGAACTGAGGGAGCTCCATCCATCACTCGCTACCCAAGTGCGATCTGAAACCTCCATATTTTCGGCCTGTTTTAACAGTCTTTCTCCTTGTTCGAAGTAACTAAAGACAATAACAACTTTCGCTCGCTCCGCAGTTTTTAACTTGTTCATTGTATCCGCAATTTGCCTGTCGGAATTAGGTGAACCAAATGCGATGTATTCATCGTTGGCAATACAAACATTCAATTTTTTAGCTGCGGTTTTAAACGCGGCGGCCCCCAACTTCCCGTAGTCGTCATCACTCGCGATTAAAAACACGTAGTTCCACTTAAAATAATGGACGAATTTCGCGATTGCTTGCGCTTGAAATTCGTCCGAAGGCACAGTTCGGAGAAACGAGTTGTAACGAGTCTTATCACCGAGAATACGGCTCGTCGAAGCGTAGCTTATTTGCGGAATGCCGTACAAACCCAGTAACCTTGCCACTGGGATCGAAATCCACGAAACTGCAGGACCGATAACTGCAGAAATTCGTCGATCTCCTGCACGGGAATCGCTGCTGTTTTGACAACAATCGTCGCGCGATATGCAAATCGAATTCGGTCGATATTTCGAAACGATTTGTATGGCATAACTCATCGATCTAGGGATACTTTCGCATGTGTCCTCAATTTGGTACCCAATAGTTTTGTTTGGCAAAAGCGAAGTCGAATTGTTGATCATGTCGACCGCGTATATCATTGCCATCATCCAAGTGATTCCGTCAGGTTTTAAATGTTCACACTTTCCACCTTTCTGTGACGTTATCGGGAACAATCCCTTTAGCATTACATCGCCATCTTTCCAAATCCACTTGTGCTCATTGCTATGGAATTGCTGATGAGTAAACGCGAGGAAATGGAGGGTAAAAATTGCTCGGATGAAACAGTTGCCAACGAAACAGGTTGAAATCCCCATTGTTTCCGAACTCAGTGAGTCGCGCTACCCACAGTCAAATCTTCAATCACCTAAAGAAATTAATTGTTTCTGAAGACATGAAATCGCGTCTTACAAGCTGCCTGTTTTAATTTTTTCCGGTTTTCTTCTCCCAACACTGCAGCTGTCGATTTCGTTGTCGCGTGTAAACAATGGAATAGAACAGGCAGTGGGCTATACATACAACAATCTGTCATTTCATCAAGTCAATGACCAGCCATACATGTACAAATTTTCTGACGAACGATCTTAGATTCGAGAGCAAATGTTGACCGCAATGGACGTACTTATTACAAACTTCATAGGAACGGATTTTTAGAATCAAAAAGAAGGCGCCCCGTTAAACCTCCGTGGTTTAGCACAATGTTTGCTAATTAAAATACAAATTTGAATGGTGAAAAATTCATTTCTTTTCGACTAAGTAAATTTTTAAGTGTCATTAGTAACCGAACAATGTTCGTTTCTACCTTGACAGAATGTAAATAATATTAACGATAGCTTTTTTTAATTTAGTTCTCTCCTGAATTGCCTCAGAAAGGCAAACTCCACTGATAATTCAACGAAGAGTACTGCTAGTAAAATAAATTTTTTCTTTTGAAGGAGAACTCGGCGTTTGGCATGGTTAGAAAGATTGATTGTAAAACTTGTAGTCTTCTATTTCATTTTTCAATATTTCTTTCCCCAAAGAAAGCCGCTGTTAGTCTTGACGAGATAAGCTGTCAAAAATACATGCCAAAAATTGGCGCCCAAGTGATAGCCGTAGTAATTATTATCATTACCTCGCAAAGAGATTCGTTTAAAAAAAAAAGCAAAAAGAAAAAAAAAAACAAATTGCCGAGTCCTCTCGAAATTTTACTTCAATCTCTGATCATAGAGAGGTAAAATTAACACCTTGTTCTGAAGGATCAAAAATAATTATGTTTTCATCGAGGGAAAAATTGGCAGCTCAATAGATAAATAAATATTCCAGGCCATGTTTAATAAGTGGGTGAACATTTTTCAGTCAAAAATAATTGTCATATCTTTGAGTGACAGTCGACTAATATGATAAATGCATTTTCCACCTGTCTCACTGTTTCCTCTGGGCCAGCGGCTTTACGATAGATTTCAATATTTATTTATTGTTGTATAAAAAAAATCATTTTTCATCCAAAATGCATGGAGTCATTTTGCTTAGCACGACTTAGCGTGATCAGCGCCTATTACAGCTAACCTCTAAAAAGATATCTCTTCGAGAAAACTTTATAAAAACTGAGTAATTTGCAAGGGTTATATTTGCATTTTAAATCTTCTGATCTGATTTCGCTTGAAACGGGTTTCAATTAGATAAAATTAAACGCGTTAGCCCTTCATGTGACCCCTAACACTGTCTAGCATCTAATTTCTTCCTTAAATATCAGCCTTGAGACACATATTAAGGTAATGAGAATAGGCGAATTGATCACCAACTGAAGAAGCTCTTAATAGTTAAGCAAATTTTCCTTGTCAGTACCTTAGGAAATGGATATAGAGAACTAAATGGAAAATATGCAACATAACAACTTTTAAAGTTTTCTTTATTCCATACAATTTTAAGATAAGGACGCCTACAAGAATATTATTTAGCGTGACCTATTCCTATCTTTCGCAAGTTTTTAATCTTCTCTTGGTTTAATTGTTTACTTTTCATGATAATTTCCCAACAAGGATTAGATTGCGTAATAGTAACCTTTTCATTTCTATGATTAAATCGTCCGTCCTCTCTAAATTGCTTCTCTTCAAATTTGAAGCTCTAATGAATGACTTTTATGGAGATTTTAATTTACATAGTTAACGAAAACTACTGTTTTTAAAATTCTCATCTCTCATGGTGCCTAACAAAGTGTTTACCTGGTGTCCTGTCTTTTCCGACAAAGATAGATTCAGAAATAGCTTAAGTGAGATTTTCCTTAGGGATGAAAGGGAAAATTGATCTCGTTTATTATCTTCAAACATGAATAGTACCCAGGACGGCATTGTCCTCGAATAATAGAAACGCAAGGACTCTATCAAACATTTATAAGGCTTTCTGTTTTAGAATAATATCAGTATGTTATTCGTAAATTTAGAAATATGGATGTGATGCTGCGAAGCCGTGTGCTTTCTTGGGATTGAAAGCGAGGGAAATTTCATTCAGTTTTGCATCGTGTGGAAACGGTGAGAGTCTGGTAAGAGTGTGAAATTGTTCTTCAACCTAACTTTTGGCCTAATCTAGATCCATTTGGTGTCAACTTTTTGGTTAGATTTCGCTTCAGTTTTCAGCTGCGGGAACCCGTTAAATGGAAAATCTTGTATGCATATATGTCTTAAAAAAAAACGTTTATTTCAGATAAGAAATCCACTAAGCGTTGAATAAAAAGGCCTTGTCGAGGAAAAAGAAAATTTCAAATTACGGAGGACATAAATGAACAAAACATTGAAAAAACTGAGCCGTAAATTGGAGCAGAATTTTTCTATCAGCAATTTATATCCTGCTTGTAACAGCTTGAAAATTCACTATCAAAACTTCCTTTTATGCTATAAAAATATTTTGCAAAAACCGGCATGAGCCTCTCATTTGTATTTAAAAAAAAAAAAAACTAAGAAAATCTGTCATAATAACCAAGAGTAATCTGAATAACTAACGGAGTCTTCTCCAAACCACACAATGTGGGCAATTTTTCGTAGTGTTGTCATAATTGTTTACTGACACCCCCATTTAACAGAGATAACGTAGACTGTGTGGCAAAGGGAGGAAATGTCTCGCCAAAGGGCGGCTTTTGTTTCTTTTGAAAAGAAAGGCGTTCGTTGCTGAAATTATTTTGGAGGGAAGTTGTAAATATCATGATTCCTCGGGAGGTATTTTGAAAAGATAATCGGGTTGGATGTTTGCTCAGAATAAATAATGACTTTGCTCGTACAGCAGTTGATTTCTCAGCGTTCAGAAGTCTTGATGATAACGAGACAAGCCTACAGTCACAAAAGAAAAGATTAAAAAATTTTACGAGCGTGACATAACTAAAATTTGCGGCTTATTTTACTGAGTCAAGGATAGTAAACATCCAACCTTTTGTCAATATTTCAATCCTATAAATATATTTATCAGCCTCTAATTTATTCAGTTTACTTTTTATCTAATAATTCATATATTTATCTGGTACTTTTAATCAAGCTGATCGTGTTATTAAACTGAATCTGTAAGAAAGTGCATATAGCGCTGAGACGATTGTGGTCATTAAGAAGTTCTTCCCTTAACACCTTTGCGAGTTCGCCCACCACCTACGACAAATAAAAGGAATATGCTTTTCCGTAAGAAAAATAGTTACAAGATTTGGGGACGAAGTGGTAAAGGTAGGGGCGAACTTGCTTTACTTCAAGGGGTGCGCTCTCAAAGATGGTGGGGGGCGGACTTGAAATGAGGCCAAACCTTCATAAACCAAAGTGAGAAAACTTTAACAAAAGATTCCCGAGTCACTCTAAAATCATTAGCGCATTACCCCCTGTAAGAGCTGTAGTGTTGTTAAGTTTCCCCGCGACTCAGGTGTGGCATTTACTACTAAGCTGCACTAATTGGTTGGCGGCATTCATTGAACAAAAACTTCAGAAAAGGAAATTTTAAAAGTAAAACACTTAGCTGTCTTGATGTATTGGTAAAACAAGCTGTCCTCTTTTCGCTTGCTTTCTCCACCTTGAAAAAATTCTAATGTATTTGCACCTTTCGTGATATGCGTTCACGAGAAAAGTGGAAAGGATAGCCGTCTCGAATTAAAAAAAAAAAACCTTGTTCTCTTGGACCCGATTGTTCATAGATAAATTGCTATCCTGCGGATAAGGGGTCAACAAAATTTGCTGCGTTATACATCAGACAGAGATTTATCTAGTGGGTAGCGTTATCCAGCCTTCAAATGACCATGGCCGTGAGTGCAAACTTTTTAATCTCTTTTCCCTTCTTCTGCCACTCGGTGTTCCTCAAGAACTGCTTATATTCGAGGATGGTACATGACAATATTTTTGTTCTTTCCTGCAAAAGTTTTCAGAGGCGGCGTTCAATGGAATAGATACTGTAAATCGATTCTATGGCCTTTAAAGTGGCAATCTGAAATGGACCAAAAAACTTATTGCAGAGATTTCTGAATTCGTGCATTGATTTCCTTAAATGCTACTCTTTATTTCGACAAAACCTATAGTATTTGTGAAGCTAGTTAGATTTTTCAAATGGTTTTCTCTTGAAATAGATTTCATTCCTTAATTAAGGAACATTGTTTAGCTTTTCTAGAAGTTTTCAGCAGAATCTTTGCTGGGAAAGATGAAAATAGCACGAGTGATTTCCAAAATTTACAGATAGTGATAGCCTGCAGAACAGGCGTATTTTGTTTGCGTTTTACAGGCAAACGGGATAAGCGCTAGGCGAGTACGAAGCACGACTTGCGCGTTAGTCGAACTAAAATGGTAGACTGTCAGACGCTTTTGATTGCCAACATTGTTTAAAAGCCGAGCCGAAGATAGAAATTTGCACCCACTATGAAATAACAAGCGCAGATAATGTTAATTTTTTTTAATGATTATCTGGGATATTGATCGAATGAAGCCTTTAAGTGCTACTGTGGTTCTTTCTTACTTTATTTACTCCGAGCTTTCGCCGTTCTACGGCATCATCAGGGATCAAACGTTTAGTTAATGATTATCGTTTGAATTTTATGTCATCTCACAAATTTGTAAATGCTCAACAAATGATACCATATATTTTAATCCTGCTTGGTACAGATCAATTGGTCAAATTTCATAGTTGGAGACTGTCAAAGACAAATTTAAGACAATCTGTTCGGTGCGCATGATTTAGAAAGCGTAAGGCAATGAAGGACTGTGGATAAAAACGGGCAATCTGCTTAGTGAAGCGCGGGAAAATGAAAATGGTCGAGTCGCAATTATTTTTAAATTGAATCTGATTGGTGTAGAGGATGATGTGGGCAATTACGACCCATCAAACTGAGGTGAATCAAAATCAGTGTACTTTTGGATTACCATAGTGATACCTTCATTTGTTGTGATAAACTGTTGTGGTAACATCGGATTAGATTTAACGCCGGAGACCACAAATCTTGCAAAACGTTTCTGACAACTTTATCACTAAAACTAGCTTTCAATCAATACGTTTACAGAGAAGAGAACAGATTTGCCCAAGACATAAAGCCAAAGTGTAAAAATGACGGTAACATGTTAAAAGCCTCTAATTTTTTTCCATTTGCTTAAAGGGCAAATGATGCAAACAATAAATTGCTTGAATTGAAAAGCTTAAAATTCACTGAAATATAATTGTAAGCAAATGTAATAAAATTTCATTATGCAAGCGGCTGTTACAATAATCCAACTTATAAAGCTGCATCGCTGAAAAGAGATTTTCTACACTTTAGGAAAGAGTAATGGAAAAATTATTATTAAATATTCTTGTTTTTCTTTCAAGGGGAACTTTTATTAATCGGTGGAAAAACTCGCCCCGTTGCTTGTCTCTGTTTGTTTCATAACCCACTTGGGAGACAATAAAATCGTTCATTTTGTAATTAAACTTTGTGATAATAGATTGACACGAGTAGTTTATTGCAGATTGCACACATTTTTCAGCCTATGAAGCGGTGTCTAGCTACATATGTCTGTTGACTTGCGCATCACAAGGCTAAAAAAAAACGGTGAGCAATACTCTGGAATGGGCGAAAAACCACCACAGCGATTCCTGATGGCGTACGTTCTTTTCCTTAGAGGAGACGATGGAAATTTTCATGTATTCAAAACAATTTTGTGCTTTTTCCTTTTACAACTGGTTGCTTGCGAGTTAGACGTACACGGTTCAAGGATGAGATCACCAAAACGGGTGCAAGATTTGAAGGCCGATTTCATCATTGGCGGGTCATTTCCAGTGTTTCTGAGTGAGAAAAATGCCACGAAATGCAACGGCAATGACAAACGCTTTCAGCTCTTCAAATCTGTACACGGAGAGACCGTTAACTGCTATCGAATGAACTTGTTCGGTTTAATGTGGGTCGAAGCAATGTTGTTTGCAATTGAAGAGATAAACAACAACTCGACAATCTTGCCGAATGTTACTTTAGGATACGATATTCGGGATAGTGCGAACGAGGTGCAGTTCGCGATGAGCAACGCATTAGACTTCTCAACTAATCGAGAAGAGATGTACAGAACTGATGTCAATACAAATCGATCCTGCTCTAACGCGTCCATCGTCGCTGTCATTGGTGGAGCTGGCTCAAAAATATCAAAAGCTGCAGCTTACGTACTCGGGGTAAACTCCATTCCGCAAATCAGTTATTCTTCCACGAGTCCTTCGCTCAGCAACAAAGCCAACTTTCCATCGTTTCTCAGGACGATCCCGCCCGATTACATCCAAGCACAGGTCATGGCGGATCTTGTGAGTTACTTCAACTGGAACTACGTATCTACCATAGCCACTGATGAAGATTACGGAAGATTAGGAATCGAAGCCTTTAAACGAGAAATAAAGACGAGGAATGTGTGTATTTCTATCGACGAATTATTCCATCCCGACTACACCTTACCCGACACAAAAGCCCAGATGTCGTCAATCGTTAGCGCCTTAAAAGCGGACAAACTCGCCAAAGTTGTTGTGCTTTTTTGCGAGATTCCAAACGCGCTTGCCCTTTTGGAAGAAGCGGAAAGGCAAGGTATGGAAGGAAAAATTTGGATAGGAACGGATTCGTGGGGAGACAAAAACTCCATTTTATCGTTCAGGGATTCATTAGTTGGTGGAATGTTAGGAGTTGTACCGAGCAAAGGAAATATTATGAGATTTGAGGAGCATATGGCGCAGTTGACACCTGCTAATACCGAACACAATCCTTGGTTTAGAGATTATTGGCACGGAACGTACAGATGTCGAAAAGAAAGAATTGCACATTTGAAAGATGGTTTTAATACTTCGGAAGAGGACCAGCAAAACAGCTCGCTTCACCGAGTGAAATGCGATGAATTTTCGAATGGCAAAGAGCTGCCAACTGCAGCGAAGGTAGAACTAAACAAGGCCGCAAATGTCATGGATGCAGTTTATTCTGTCGCTTTAGCTCTCGATAAGATAATTAGGTGCAAAAAAGGACACGGCCTCTTAACAAATGGTAGCTGTCCCAGTATAACAAATGGAGTTGAAGCATCGGACGTCCTCACTTATATAAAAAATATATCCTTTACCGGAAAGCTCGGTTTTCCAATCGTATTTGACAAATATGGGGACATAAAAGGTAAGTCATTTCTCTGTCAATAGACATTAACATGTTTTAAATACTTGAGAAACAATAAGGGGCCTTTCGCTCGTTAACATCGTTCGGCACAAATTAATTTATCTTTGACACTATTGAATGGAGATTTCAGCGCTACTTGTGCTTGTCGGACATTATGAGAATTTATCACAACGCAAACAAACATGTCAAAATGAGCTAAACTGGAAACTTTTAAGGCGACCGCTGTTTAAATATTCAATAGTCGAGTATTGACAAAAAAATTGTCTCTGAAGGATAAAAATTCATCTGAAAGGAATCCATCCTAATCTAATTTTTAAACAATTTTAAAAATTAGGAAATGAGTGAGGCTGCGAACTTAAGACGAATCTAAATTTGAATACGTTGATTGATTTACAAAAAATTTTATGCGTAAACTCGATCAAAGTGACTTTTCCTATTTCGAATTTTGTTCGTATCATATTACAAAATTTATTCGTATATTTAATAAACAAAGGGTTTCCAAAAGCGACCTCAGAAATTCTACCTTAACAGGTGACATGCGGACTTTTGCGGGCTTTTTTTTTTCTTCAGGCAAGAAGAGGATTTTATCGGTTTCAAACCCTGTGATATATTACCATATGAACATGATTTGGTGCCGTGGTATCTAATGAAAACAAGCAGAGCGAACAATGATAATTTCACGTATTTAAGCTTGCTTGATACCTTGTGTATCAAGGACATTTTGAAACTCGTCATCTCAAATGGCTGACCAGTATTAGTGCAATTTTTTTCATTTTTCGCGGCTTTTTAACCTACAATAAACTCAGAAAATCTCCTCCAATTCAAAGATCAAATGAGATGCTAGTCAAGCTATTCAAAGGTCAAAATGACATTATTCAATAAAATCCTCTTGTGTCCAAACTCACCTGGAGCCGTTTTTAAAATCAGTGTCAAATTTTAATAATCTTAATGTTCCGTCAAAAGGCCTTTGTTTACTCAGTTTTATCACGACAACAACAGCCATGTTCTTTAAGTATTTTTGTCAGGTTTGACAGAAAGACAAGGTGTCAACGAGGTAAGGGGTAATCAAAACAATACAAAATGAGAAAAAGTGAACTTTGAGGGCGTCTTTTACTTTAATAAATGTCCTCTTATATAGCTTCCTATTTTTTGGGAAAAAACAATGAAGCTACGATTTAATTTCGGACTTGAATCAAACTCAGCTACAATATCTAGCCACTAATTTGATTTTAAGTCGTCAAAGTTATAGGTAAACTACTACAGTTGTCACCTTAATTGCACTTCTAGCAAACTACTTTCGTTTAATTGCTTCCTTACAGCCCGTTCATTTTCAGAATTCCTGTATTTGCTCGTTGTAATCTGTTCGATCATATGCTGTTATCAAATTGAGTAGTTTTACCCTAACATCAGTATCCATATTCTCCATGCTGTTCTCTATACATCTCCAAAGGTCCTGACAAGGAAAATTTGTTTAACAATCATGAGCTTATTTAGTTGGTGATATTTTTTATATATTTTAACAGGTAACTATTTGGTCAAGAGTTTACAGCCCGATCCAGACTCCGCGCAAGGAAAAAAGTTTATCACGCTGGGAACTTGGGAATGGGCCACTCGCAAACTCCATTTTCATAATATCACAAACATCACGTGGAACGGATGGAATCCCAGAGTGCCATTCTCACGCTGCAGTTCAACGTGTGAGCCTGGGCACTACAAAGTCCAAGGCGACTCCATATGCTGCTGGAAGTGCGTTCAGTGCCCGTTTGGAAGCATAACGAACAGAGAGGGTCAATCACAATGCAACATATGCCCGTTGGGTTTCACTTCTTCTGAAAATCACACGAGATGTTTGCAACTCCCGGAAGTGTACTTGGAATGGCATTCAACGACTGGAAGTGTTATTTTAGCTCTCAGTGGCCTCGGGTTTTTGAGTACGATTTTCACTCTTGGCGTGTTCCATCGATATCGAAACAGCGCGATCGTAAAAGCTTCCACAAGAGAATACTCCCAGTTGATTTTACTCATGATAGCAGGCATTTTTCTTCTTCCTCTGCTACATGTAGGAAGAGCCACCGACGTCATTTGCAAAGCGCGCCCGTTCTGCTTTGCATTTGTTATCAACTTCTGGGCCTCGCTAATGTTGACAAAAACCCGGCGTTTGTTACTCATATTCAAAAACAAAATGCTCCCTGGTAAATTCGGATATGGCATTCGCTTGCAGCTCCTGTTTGCCGTTCTCCTGACTTTGCCAATAATGCTCGGCATCATACCATGGGTGTGGTCATTTCCGCCGGAAGTTACTGTGTACTATTATGACACACGCATCTGTGTTGACTGCGGCGAAATGGCGCGCAAACTGCTCATGATCGTATTGGGTTACACCGCTGTTCTGGCTATACCGTCGACGTATCTGGCGTACAGAGCTCGTAATTTGCCGGCGAATTTCAACGAAACACGATTGATAGGATTTACAATGTTCACAGTATGTGTGATATGGATAGTCTTTGTACCCTGTTACTTCGACAGCAGTGCAGAAAACAAAAATGTTGTGTTTTGTTTCGCACTTATTTCCACAGGTTTCGCGATCCTCTTTTGCACGTTCTCCGTCCGGTTGCGGATCATTTTTTTCCAACCCGAGAAAAACAAAACCGAACTTGTACGGGCCAGTATGTTTGATTATACAATGCGCGCGCGCAGTGGATCGTTCGCTGCCCGGAATCTTCGCCGAATGTCAGTAGTGACCGTGGGTACATTTTCCGTTCCAACAAAGGCTCATTAAAACTGTTAGCAATAATTTATTAACCCTTCAACTCCCAAGATCTGACTGTTAATCCTCCCGGTTAGCTGCTTCACTGAATTCCCTGTGAATCAGCTACGAGAATCTTTTGCTAGATTAAGATAACAACTTCTACCTAAAGATAAAACAAGTTCCGACATTCCAGATGTGTCCTCAGGGCACTTTTCGACATCCTATCTCCTGTAGTGAATGATCGTCGTCTGATTAGAATTTTTTTCTACATATTGAAAAATAAACTTTCATGATACGTGAGAGATTTTAGGTTGAATTACCTAAATACTTTTGACAAGTTTGAAACTGAAATCCAAATATTAACGACTAAAGAAAGTTGAAACGTGTTTAGTAACCTGAAATTTTCTACCCTTTTAAGATTGTTTTCAGAACTCATTACTTATTAATACCTTTTTGATTGGCATGCAAACTCGCGAGGTTTATATCTAAGCTCTGAGAGAAGACAAGTTTATTCATCACCAATGCGTTCTGAAAATCATACGAGACAACAAAAACATTTTAAGTTCTAAATGTAATTTGGTTATCAAAAAGGAAGTTTAAAAATGCCTAAATTGAGCAACACAAAATAAACAGAATTCAGATCGAATATGGAGAGGACTTTTCCCTGGATTCTTCATGTGAACATTAAAAAATCGGTCGATGCTTTCCTGGCAATAGGGCGGTGGGGGGAACATGTGACTTCTCGTCGTCAAAATTAAAGGGTTGGTCTAAGTGCGAAAAGCCGAGTGAGACTGGGGGAAATTACGAGGCAATTTGGGGTTCATCCCCTCGCGGGGTGAAAACAGGGGAAAAGGGAAAAGAGAAAGGACTTAAAGATTGTAATCCATGATGATGACATAATGTCATTTTTCACTAAAACACATTACATTAATTTAGCTTTAGTCGAAAAAAAAAGTCGAGAGAAGTGTTTGAATGCGTGGAAGTATTTTCTCTTTTGAAACTGCGAAGAAGGCAGCAGGCTAAGATAATTTTCCAAAAGCAGTGGTTTTCCCTCGATGTTTGTTTCCTTTTACTTATTTTAAGTGGTACTGTATGCCTTTAATTTCAGAAGTGATAGGAAAGGAATTTTTCCCAATCACAGTTCGACGAACTTGCAAGCGAAAAGGTAACGAAAGGGAAGACAATATCACTATATGTCCTACGGTGGCTCGCTAAAGTACAAAATGCAATCCAAAAAGGAATGCTTAAGGATTAATGTTCAGCTTTTTACTCCCTAGATCTCAATATCAATTCTCCTTAATGTCTTTCCTACATTTCTTACACCTTTGCTTTGAGAATTTGTTGTTTAATAGAACAGTGATACTCAGTTGATGTTTCTATTTCTTCTCATCGACTTGCTGGTTAACAATGAACTAATACTGTTGGGAGAAGTTACACCGTGGTATAACACGGATTAAAAATGATGGACCTATAATAACTTTAACGTAAGATCAATATAGAATCACCATTGAAAAACTATGACGCGGCTCTTTAGATTCTTTTAACAAGATCGGGACAAAACAGGCCATTCCGACCCTCCTTCGCGGACGCGCATACACAAACACCTCCTTCTACGTACGTTTGCTCTTTCCATGCAAAAATTGTTGGGACAACGATACAGAATTTTAGACGCTTGATTTTCTCTCCTCGGGCAACTCTTTTATGGTCGCAATAATTGACCCTTGAGAGCGCCTCGGTCCCAAGTTTTGCTTCACAACTGGTAGCTTGTTCATAGATCCATTCATAAACTGAAACGCTAGACACGCTGGCGATGTGTTCCGTCTCAGAGTCATTCCCTGAATCGGCGACAGATCAATCCCAGAAGCCTGGTCAATTGAGTAACGCCTTGTGCTTTCTATCGCTGCCTGCTTCGTGTTCTTTTCCGGCCGGAAAAAAATTACACGAACTTTTGGAAGAAACAGAAGGAAAAGCATTGAATATGCTCCCAAAATTAGCGCCATTATTGCACAGATGTAGCTCTCCCTTCCATGAAACGACGTGTGATGGCAAATTAAAATAGCAGTCCACGATAAAAAGTTTGTAAACATGCTGAGACATATCCATTTAAATTCGTTATAAGCTCTCGGCAGATTACGTGATTTGTAAGCAAGATACGAGCATATCGTCGCGAGAAATGAGTCATAACCTAACGAAGCCAAATCAACGGCCAAATTGTGCTCACATGACATAAACAAAGCGCCCGCGACGCTGTAATCATAAGTCACTCTTGGCGGGAAAACCAGAAGGTGAAACACGCTCAAACCAATCTGCACAAGAATCAGTGCGCATGTCAAGAAACCGTACCAGCAGTTGCTGAGGAAACAATGCTGCTTGAGAGCAGAAAAAATCTTAATCAAACGGTTCGTCTTGGTCAATAAAACCGCAGTGATAGTGGTGTACAAAACTGCGAACGACACGGTTCTCAATTTGCAAACAATGTCAGATGGCTTACCGATGTAGAGAACCGGATTCAGGAACCAAACAGCAAGCACTAACAAGGACAAGACCGTAAAAGTTAAATTCGTTGCCTTGACAACAGGGGTGTCCTGATATCTCACCAGAACACCCAACACGAGCAATGTAAGAATCTCTCCCAGTCCACACGCGGAGAGTAGAGTAACTGTTAGCATTTCTCCGAAGACTAACACTGCGAGAGGTTTGTCTACACAACCAGTCTGAAGCTCATTTGGCATTTGGTGCTTCGGGCAAACTTTACAAAGGGTCGCGGTGTGGTTATCATTAAAGGTCCCCTTAGGACACTTATGACAGTTCCACCAGCATGTCTCCCAACCATATTTGGTATAGGTACCCAGGGGGCAGCGCTCCCGGCATCCAGAATAAGGGACTCTGTATTCTTTACCAGGCCATTGAATGTCAGTCTCATTTATTACCAGTCTCTGCTCTCTGGTCCATTTTCCTACTCGGGTAGTCGCTATGGTTTTATTGCAGATGGCATGCACGTTCATGATATCAAATTCTTTATTCAATTCTCGGTTAGAGGTGAAGGATATATTAGTATTTTGACTATTTCTAAAAGTAATCTTCTCTAAGTTCTTCAAAACAAGTTCCCGCGCATACTGCAGCGTAAAATTCCCCCTCAAGCAGTTAAAACTGCTTTGCACACTATTCCTAGTACACTGGGTAACTTTCTTCACTGTCTGCGTGACTGCAAGAACTGCATTCATGACGTAAGCAGTTTTGTCCAATGACACACCCTGCAAGCCGACCGATTGCTCACTGCTACGATTTCCACAGACAGCGGACCAGCGGCTGTCTTTTTCAATCCAAGTGCAATACATTTCTGAAACGTTTTTCGCCAATATGCTGACGACATTTTTAAACTCGCCCAAGTCTTCTTTGGGCACAGACACGGTCAGCATTCCGTCCATGACGTCACCGTAGCTTTCATCCAATCGTGATCGCTCGTTTGACATGTCAGCTCTAATCCACACTCTTTTTGTCAAATTTTTTCTCCGTGCTTCGCTGAAAATCTTGGAAATAAAATCCTCGCTTCCTAAAACAACGTTCACGAAAACACTCCTACGAACTTTGATTGCCATTACAATACTCGAAATTTCACCACTACCGACGGCGTCATGTAAGGCAATGCAGATGTCGCGTTTTTTAAGGTCCCGTTTTAGGTTTCCCATTATTCCACGGTAAAAACGTTCTTTCGAACTTATGATATTTATACAAGACCATCCGAAAGAAGTTATAAGACTCGTCAACACCGCCGCAACTTGTTTATCAGAAAAAGACGTGCGGAAAAGCGTTCTGAAGATTGACCTGTCATTGAGAAGTGAGCTGGAAACTCCGTAACTGATCTGCGAATATAATAATAACAACAATAAAACAAATTTTTAAGTAAATAAATTATTATTATTATTATTATTAAATTACTTCAAACTGCGTATTGAACATCCAAAGATTAAACTAATCTGTTGAGAATAGTCTTCAAATGTAAAAAAAGTCGAGAACAGAAGCCGCCATTTTTAATATTGCCGAACAATCTGGCCACTCACCTATGACATAACACACTTTCGATCCTCTTTTCAAATTCCTAGCCATCATTTTGAAAAATTACATGCTACAAAAAATGGCATTCTTAACTCAGCAGATAATGTTCTGCACTGTATAGAGCGGCAATTTTTTTCAATAATTTCTGGAATGCTTAACGTGATTACAACTAGGTTACAAAGTTCAAAACGGCGGCTTCTGTAGTCAATTTCTTGGAACATTTAAAGAAAATTTTCGGTTCAGTTTCTCTTTGGATTCTAGTCATGCTGTAGGTAACACCCTTCCTCTAAACTAGACATGACCTCACCCCCACTTAGTTTTGATGGGAATAAGATCGAAGTGCAAATTGGGAAGTTTTGGTCGTCGGTTTTCTCGTATCGTGATTGGCTTCTTTTTCAAAGGCGCTCAAAATACAGAACTATCATCTCGGCCCCCCCTTCCTTTGATTTAGATTCTAGAGTGTGAATAATTCTCCACAGCATCCTTTTTGTAGTATTTTCGACACAGACATTAGAAAGGAACATCTGAGGAAAGTTTAAAACAAAATTGTTCATTAAATTTTTTTTTTTGAAGAATAAAAAAAAGCTAGCTTAAGAACTTCTAAGAAAATTCTCCAAGCAAATACAACAATAATAAAAAAATAATGATAATTTACCATGCGATCACTTTCAAATACTTTTCATGTTTTAATAAACTAACGCTCGAATTCCGCGGAGCTTGTCTGGCTTATTTCCCGAACATAGCCTGGTATCATATCGAACATATCATAAACTTATCGACTTCAACTTCGAGCCTCATTAGCCAATTTGCAAAATCCTACATGGAAATAGTTGGCTGACAAAAAAATTACCTACCACATCAAACGAGCATGTCAATTTTCAGCTCTGTAGCTTTAAGTTTTTCGTCCAGCGCTATAATGACTGAAAACAATAGCGAATTTCTGGATTTCATGGTAGATAAAGGAAATGAAACTAGGTGAGCATGTTATGAAAACAATGTCTCCTTTGAGGATTGAAAGTAATTATTTCAAGCCTTTTATTTTTTGGCTTTCCAGAGATTTCGAAACAAACCGGCAAGTTTTTATTTCATTAGTGTTCAGTATAAGTAATGAACTCTCAAACGTTCATTGGGTTTTGAATTCTCACTAAAAGACGAGAAAAGACGAGAAAATACGAGAAAATGAATTGATGTTTACAACATCCGATCGACTTTTTCTAGAAGCTTCTGATGACTTTTTACCGTAATAAAGCAAGAATATTGATTTGAAAGCTTTGTAGCCATAATAGAAACACTGTAATGAATCATTTTGATGAGCTGTACTACTAAATTAATTTGATGTTAAAATGAAACAAAAAAATTTAAAAAAAAAGTTTATGATTTATGAAGAACCCTTAATAATTTCTTAACTAGACAAATCTATAGCCAAAGGAAAGCCGCTAGACGTCTGTGAAACCTGTTTGGGTGGAGGAGAGTGGAATGGGTTCTCTTTGGAATTTTTGGCAATAGTTGCCACCCATTTCTCAAAATCTTAACCCCTCTTGAACATCTCATTTTCCACACCCGTTTTCAGAACTCGTCTCTAAAATCCATCGCCTTTTTTCACCTGCTCAAGCCACAAATTGGTCATGACCACCCAAAAATTCAGTTTGAATAATATATTTTTATTTTGTCTCTCTCTGATTCATTTGGATTTCCGAAGATAAAGATGTTTAGACACACTCTTGGAGACTGTACCGTTTCGAAGCCACGATGATCTATGCATTTACCCGTTCTCAGACAAAAACTGGCCAAAACTAAGCCCTTTCGGGCAAGCACACACCCTATATGGCTAGTTCATGAAATATAAAATTCAAGAAACGATTTACTTAGGAAAAATAAAATGGGTCGATGCAAACACAGCCATCCACATGCCCAAAATTAACACAGCCCCTTCGACTTAGTCATTCGTTTGGTAAAAATCCTTCCTTCTGCTAAAAATTGGATCATTGAAGTTTCTTAGGGAGTTTATACAAAACATTTGAAAGCAAATACAACAACAAAAACAAAAACCTGATTTATTTTTCGTTCACTCTAGAGTAGTCTTGAAGTTTCAAAAAAGACTTGTGTCAGATCTTTGCGGGCCGTAGGGGTCCTGCTCATTTCGCGAATTGCTCTCCGACTTTAGAATTATCAGGAATTCATGGTACAAAAATCACATGAATTTAAGTACACATTTTACAAAAACAAAGCTTGTTTGGAGGACTAGAAGTAACTCCTTCCGGCCTTCTTTTCTTAATTTTAAGGGTGTTTGCATCAAACCGGCAAGTTTTTTAAAAGTGCTCGTTTATATAGGTGAATTCTACGAAAGTTTGGTCGAAAATGAAGTGTAATACACGTTCTCATGTTTATAAAATTTCGATGAACCCTCGAAATCTCGCTGAAAGAGGCCATTAAAATATACAAGAACGTACAAGAAATTGCTTTTAAAACATCCGATCCATTCTTTCTGGAGGCTTCTGATAACTAGTTTCCGTAATAAAACGACATGTGTTTTGATAGCTTTTTTAGCCATAATAGGAACACTATAATGAAGCGTTTTGATGAACTGTACAAATGAATTTGAATAATCTTGAAAGAAAAAGGCAAGCGATTAATAAACAGATCTTAATCATTTCTGATCGGTTTTTCTTTTCACTCAACCCGAGTAATCTTCCGACAAAGCTGAGAAATTCCAGTTGTCTAAAAAAACACTGTGAGTGGGGCGAAGAGGGGTTGGAGGGTGGAGACTTCTCAAGGATCCTTTACAGGGGTGTGCCGCCGGTTTCTTAAAATTCCGGCTGACCTCATCTCTGCCCAAATATATAATACCTTTTCAGATCTAGCTTTAAAATTATATTACTGCCTTTAACCTGTTCAAGCCAAGAATTGGTGGAAATCACTGAAAAATTCAGCTCGAGTGATACATTTTGGTTGCATCTGTCTCTCTTCCATCCATCCGGAATTAAAAAACCAAATACGATTATACGCTTTAGTGGTTTCCTTGTTGAAAAAAACACACGCGAAACCAGACCCTGCACGTCTTACATTGGGGACTCCCCCCCCCCCCCCCCACCTCTCACCCCTATCTTCAGGCTTTAACGTGCAAACCTTAGCACTTACTACGTGATCTGGTTTCACTTAAAAGAGGAACAAACAGACCAAAGACGACCAAAAAATGTCGGTGGAAGTTCCAAAAGAGAGATAAAAACCAAGCGACCGGATTCTATGGCGCCACAAATTCAGACAGTTGAAGGGAACTCGCCTCCGTGTTCAATTAATATTGTATTGTTCTCACTAATGTACTGTAATTAGCCTATTGCGTAAGGAAACCCTCGCTTCCAAAACCGAATGGTGTTTACATAGAATTCTAGGTTTTCGAGTTGATATAAAAAGAGAAAAGTCGTAAAAAAATATATATATATATAAACAGCGAAATTGCAAAATTAAGAAATACACAACGTTTCGATTGAGAGTTAAATACTAGGCAGAGCTCTTTCTGTAAATATCAACTGATTTGACCCTAAAGTTCGTCGATGGAGCACTTAAAATCTTTTCTCAGAGACACACTAAGTATTAGTGCAAAACCTAAATCCTGGCTGCTTCACAATGTGTAACAGTTAAGGAACGGTGGCGGTTATATGTTTAACATGATCATGAAACAGATAGGAAGTCTACGCTCCCCAAAGAAAGTTGGAACCCTTAAATATTACATAACATCCTCAATTCTTGGTCGAGAAATTGAAAGTCAAAAAAACATTTCACTGGAGCACTGATATCGTTATTTTAAAATTTTTATCGCTTTTGAACAGAGCACTCTAACATTCACCCAGGATGAAAGTTATTTTTAACCGCTTGAAAAAAAAAGTGTGTTAACGTGACTTCATTTTGTAGAAGAGGTGATAAAAGATTTTCTTTTTAAAGCGAATTCGTTTGAAGTACCCTTTCATTCACCGTAAATGGGTCCACGATGTATTATTTCTTCAAAGGATAAAACCCACTCAAATATCAGCTAAAAAACTTCTCGAACGCAGCTTTGTGCACTTGGTATAATACAACAATTTCCCACCCCCCCACTCGAAAAAAGATATTGCAATGCTTTAATCTACGACAAGGAAAGACCAAAGGCTAAATCATGCATTCCAACTCGACAGGGGAGATCGCATAACCCTTAAGAGCACTTTAAAAATTTCCAAATGATGTTTTTGTTTTCATCTGCAGTGCTATTCAAAATCTGGTGGCAATTTAAAATAACCCAGTGTATTTAGAGAAAATTTCTGATATGCTAAAACTTTCTCCATCCACCTTTTTACACTTTTTTTTCCGAATGGAAAGTAAAGCAATCATTTCTCGCTGTAAAAATAGGAATATCTTAGATAAGCCCCGGTAAAAAACAAACCCATCCATTCGCCCGTCACAATAACTGCTTTGAAGAGGTCTCCCTGCTGCTCTCAAAAAGATGCAAATTGTCAACTATTTGAACACCATTTAACAGCAGCGAAGAGTGCATTTAAAATCTGAGGATTAAAGTGGATTCAAACAAAAGAAACATCAAACAAAATTAACATTTTTAATCAAAAGTGACGCACAAAGTTTCTGAAAAGGCGCGAAACGACCACAAAGATGAAGTCTTCGCGTCAGCACGACCACGATCACGATCACGATTTCTCGAAGATGGAATTTTATTCTCGAAGAATATGTAACTATATTCTATTCATGACCAAGACAAAAAAAGAAATAAATAAGAAGAATAACGGCAGCACGGCGTCTCCACGGGAAACGTTTCACATCCTTCACTTTAGGATCGTTTTGGGAAGCGGTTAATGAACTCAGAACGGAAAAAGCGTGTCACCATTGATTTTCTTGTTAACAGACAATGTGGACAGCACATCCCGATAAGAAAAAAATTTCGTAATCTTTTGGAAAATGTCGACACGATACCCGGTAATTTATCAAACACGGGGAAATTGTGTCTGTTTATCAAGACTAGCTGTCAGTTTCTTTGTGAATTCCGCAGAAGGCGGACAAGCAAATGTTTGAATAAAGAGATTTTCGGCACAATATTCAAATCTGTGTCAAGGAAAACTGTGTCATGATAAAAGAACGCGGTGGCATTAATTGGCTATATATTTTCGCGATAGTAAAACATGTTAATAGGAGTAAAGCGATAAGATCAATTTAGTACAAATAATCGCTAAATTAATGCATCCGGCTTCACTTGGAACCAAAATATTTCCAAAAAATGTCATAATTCTTCTCACCTACGAATACTGGAGATACGTTTGCAGCGCGAAAACAAAGTCGTCTCCGATCTTACAAACATAGAATGAATTTTTCGGTGCCACTATTTCCGCAGGTGAGAAAGTAAGACGTTTTCATTCGAGAGAAAAATTAAACGAGTTTTCCATTACAACTTCCAAATCTACTAAATAAAAAAAAAAAGTTAACAAGTGGATTGCGAAATCATTCTGAGATTACGCGGAAGGTGCTTGATCAGAAATATCTAAAACAACACATGAATGTGACTTTATTATGCGAACTAATATAAAATATCAAGAAAAAAAATATCTATTAAATCTACATCCTCAAAACACTATCTGTAAAAACTACCACAAGATGAAGACAAATATTACATTAAAAACGGATCCTAAGATAATCTGAAATATACACAGGAAGACTTTTTCGTAAATGTCATACATTCGAAGACTAAAAACAAAAAAAACTTTCCGTTTTTTTTTTCTTTTTCTCTTGGTTTTTGTCAGACGAGCTCAAATTTAGGCACCAGTTTTGAACAATGTTTAGAATTGCAAAACCATTCTGAGGTTTGCGCACTTTGCCCTCGAGCGAAAGACCACATTACGCGGAGCAATTTTCTTCTTTTTTTTTCTTGCAGAGAAGTGATCATTGTCTAAAGATATTTCTATACAATTTAAATTTATTGACAAATGAAAACGTGCCTCTAAGATCGATCTGCACATATGCTCCCACAGGCTAAGAATGAGTGATTCGGGATTCGGGATTCGGGCTTTGAACGCTAACCGAATAAGACCTATAATAAAGTTTCGAATCAAAGTTCATGTTACAGTTCGCTTTTTTTAAAACGAAGAACGTCACTATAGAATCTAGTCAGAGGCAAGTTAAAATTTGCAATTTAAATGGAACAGGGGTCAATTGAAATAATTCTCCTCTACAAATAAAAGGAAAATGTCACGTACGATAAAAATGGAAAGTTCTCTTACCTGAGGTACCCCATAAGCGCTCAATATGAAACTTGTAACGACAGCGTTGCCAGACAAATCTGGTCCCACAAACGCGAGCACTCCACATTGTTTACGTGCGTTCTTCAATGAGCAGTTTTCAGATAATGTTCCATCATTTTCATGTCTCAAAATATCTAGAACCTCTTTCACAGACACCTCAGGGCTCGAACAACTGTCTCTGATATCATATCCAAGAACTGCATCGCTATAAACCGAATCATTGTTTATTGTGTAAAAAAACGCCTCAGCGAGCAGTAATCCTTCGCTCCGCACTTTGTTGCACTCCGGCCCTTCGGTTATGGGAAAAAGCCCTCCGATGATGAAATTCCCTTCTTTGAATCTTCTCCAACGACCAATTGCAGAATCAGCTTGTAAACAAAACGCTAGCGCAAAGAGCGCCAGTGAAACTCTCATGTTGACTAAGAAGACCCCAGAAGAATAAAGCAGGAACTAGCTACTTGTTTGGTGCACTTAACGATCTTTTTTAAATATTTAAATGAATCCGCATTTAAATTGCCAAAAACAAATCGCCACCCGTACGTGGAAATTAGTCCGAACCTTGAAGGTCTTCCAAATTTTCCTAAAAAAAGAAGAAAATTTTTTCTCTCAGGCAGTTAAATAAGCTTTTTCTCGAGGAACCTCGCTTCTACAATGTGGAAAATGTAAAATCGTTCTCGCAAAGTTAAAATCCGCCCAGCTAAATAAGCCTTGACAAAGTCACAAACTCTGCACGGCCTCGGAGAAAATTCTCGGCGAAAATTACAACACTCTGCAAAATGAGAGGATTCCGTTGATTCTCAGTCGGTCTTTGTGCTGTTGATGTCGGAAGAATACTTCATAATTTCCGAGTAGCTTGCCGAATAGTTTATTATTTGCGCTGTCATATACACAAATCAATTTTGACAACACTTCAAGTCGGTGGTAAATAAACGATTCAGCCAACCACTAGAGAAAGCCCATTAGGGGCTATAAAATAACTAACTGGAGGGTGGAACGTGTTTACAAATGGCACTCGTTCTTGTGAGGGGGAAAAAAAGCAAAAAACAAACAGGTGCAAACCTGTTACGAAGATGCAAAAAAGGATGCCGCGACTGCATTTGAAATGAAACGAAATATTCATATTAATTCCATGTCAGTGATCTATTGCATGCAAGACGCTTCGAATGAGAGAATTAGGGGGAAAAAAGCGTGCAACTTAAATGGTTTTCCCAAAGATTGGTTTTCACAATTTATAGATCTTTCGCCCAGCGCCGCTCTGTGTATGCGCTTGAGTCTTCAAAAGCATGTAGTCTGGTTCTACTGGAGCGATTTAGACTAAACTATGGACACTTAAAGATCACTGTTGCCGATATTAAAACTGAATTGAATAAAACAGGATGAAGCTTGGACAACCCCCTTCGGCTCTGACTTCGAAATAAGGAAAAAAAAAATAGAAAAAATAGAACGCCGCGTTCAAAAATAACTAAGTATTCCTTACGCTCCCTTTTATATTTATACCAAAATTGACAGTGTCCTCACGAGATCTTTCATTAATTCCATTTTAAATGAGAAAAAGGCCGCATAGCAAAAATTAATCTGTGACGAATATCACATGCCAAAAAAAAGAACAAAAAAAGAAATGTTATTCGTCCAACAAGCGGTGAAAAGAACAACGACAGCAAAAGAAAGCCATTCTATTCCTGAGTAAAAGTTCCGGAAATTAACATGGATTGAGAAACCGAATACTTTAGATGTTTTCCCTCGTTAACCTGAAAATACTTGAAGGATAGATCAACGCATTTTTTTAGTGAATACAGTATATAACTCAAGACAGTCAAACAATTGAAAATGTTCATAGATTCACGAGACTTGAAAGTTCAACTCAGCTGGAGGGTTCTATGTTTCCCAAACGTTCGTGACATGACGCCCACAGCAGTGCAAACAAATCAAACGCGAGCAAGAAGTATTTTTACAATTATAGAGAAGCCTAACCACTATAACAACTAAATAACAAGTATTCACACTGAAACAACGCAACAACTCGGAAAGATAAAAAGAAAAGAAGAGCGAAGCTTTGAAAATCAAGCATGAGTTTAATTCAGACATTCAGTGGCATAACAAGAGACTCACCGAAATTGCCTAACAAACCCAACACATCTCAATGTTTTATTATACTTTAAAAGTAAGACAGGTGATTCGTGCCTAATTTGATTCTTTCAAAGTTTTGGATTGATATTTCAATCAGGTTTTTTTCCTTGGCGTGAATATAAAAAAAGGCGAACCTGCAAAATAATAGCTTCAGGAAATCGTAAGTTGATGAATCACGACAGAAAATCTCCTTGAATATAACTGTTTCAGACGCGGCTCTTTTAACTAAAATTGTTTTCTCATTCAATTTTTCACTGATCACGAAAAATAGCGGCATTAGTTTGCAAATCTTGTTGGGAACATGATTCAAATCACCTAAAAATTTACTTTAATTTCCGATATCTTGAACAAATAGACGGAAATAAAACACTCATAGAAAGGCGCATTGAAAATGGTAATTTTCCAAGTCGAATTTTTCAATTATACTCCAAATCGCATCGATGGTCATCTCTTAGAGGTATCTAGTATCAATATTGAGAATTTTTCTGCATAATCATTTTTCAACTCGATGGCACGTAAGGCTGAAGAACTGACATACAAACGCTGAACGCTAATGCAAAAATAATTGCCATGATTTTAAAAGCTCTATTAAAATTATTATCACAAAATGATATTCCAACACGAGAAGCTAACATCACTACCCCAATCTATTCTTAAAAACGTTTCACTGTTAGCTATAGCTCCTTCTCTTTGGTAAATATAAATAAAACAATAGAGTTTTAGTCGAACAGTAAATGGCTTCATTGAAGTCGTGAGAAAGACTGTTATCGGTTGTAGTGACTGAGTTTTCTTTAACCTAAGCGGAAGTCATCATCAAAGTCAAGTGGGTAGTTTTTGTTAGTCGGAAGTTCAAAGTCCGGTTCGTAAAACCCGATTGGTCAGTTTTGCCGTGATGATCTAGAGAACAGACAGGGAGCGGTTTATAGGATCAACTGCTCGGCCGACTGCCAAGCCCTCTACATCGAAGAGACTGGCAGAAACCTTACAAAAAGACTGACTGAACACAAGCATAAGACGGGGAAGGTTGATGTCAACAATCACATTGCTGAAAATCATCAACTTAAGAACCACAAATCGCCCTAAAATGCATTGCAAACCACCTTTTGGTATGAAATGTGGGTATACTTAATGTTTATCATGAGTCTAGTTTCTTATATCTTTGAATGAATGAATTTGAGTGAACGAATTTGAAGTACAGTATAAACGATACCAAAAATTGATCAACCATAAAATACATTAAGAAGGCACTAGACAGGAGAGTCGAAACGTTGGGTCTATGAATTGTAACTTCTTCCGTTACATTCATTAAATCTGTAAACCAGAGTAGCATCAAACCATGTCTGATTGATCAACCATGTCATCGTCGTCCTAATAAACTTTTCTGCGCAGTAATACGATTATTAGTTCATAAGTGAGCGGGTAGCTGGGTTCGAGATTACCTTTCCAATATGGCGGATAGATTGCGATATCAGTATTTCGTCAATTCCCGTACGTACTGACGCTAAATTTGGCCGGAATTCCAGAGAATACATCCCTCTACCCACTGTAGCGTTTGAGTCAGATGAAGTTTGGACGATAAATACGGTATATTGTAACAGACAAGCTACCGACAGATCACCAACAGATTGCCGATTGTCGGCCGTCTGTCATCGGCCAAAAGGTCTGCTTAAAACTGTCAGCCGACAATTGCCGGATTGTCGGCCAACAGGTTTTTTCAGGGAGTTGTTCTTAACAATTACACCGACAACAGTCCTTCTCAGGACTACACTCACACGGACGATTAGACTAAAGTTTCACAGAGTTTATGTTCACGAGCATAAATATGTTTTGGGCCAGACTCAGAGTCATTTTAGCCCGAGCAACTAGGCGAGTATTAACCCTTTACACCCTAACATCAGTATGCATATTCTCCATACTGTTCTCTATACATTTCCTTAGGTGCTGACAAGGAGAATTTGTCTAACAATCAAGAGCTTCTTTAGTTGGTGATCAGTTCCTTTATTCTCCTGACCTTGATGGTTGATTCAGGGGTGATATAGTGAGGGGAAATTAGATACCACTCACTCTTAGAGGTTATAGGCTTAAAATGAGCCCCGAGAAAGGCTCAAAACATATTTATGTCCAAAAACACAAACCCTGTTACTATTTGAATCACATTGGAGGACGTTAAAAAATTATAAACTGAAAAATATGACAACATAACAGTCTGAACAATCATGAGGGCGTGCGAGCAGGCTAAAATGCATTTTAGCGCACCAAAATCTTCCCTTTAGTCCGCAAAATGTGCCACAATGCCCCGAAAAAGACGCTTCAAACTGTTCCCAGAATCAAGTCATTCCTCGCCAGATTCTCAAAACAAAATAAAATAAAATCCGATATTCTGCTTCAACAAGTCGGTAAATTTCGGTCCAGGAGTTTTTTCCGACAATCATCGCTCATAACTCCGCAAATTCTCGTACAAAAAGAAGCTCGAAACGTTTCCTTTTATACACTATATCGGAATTGTGTCACAGGTCACAAGTGATTTGCGTTGATGTACTTCACGTTCCTCTGTTGCAATCGCCTGATCAAGGATCCGCCATGCCTGTAAATACTTATCAGCGCACCTTTCTTTGTTTGCTTGCTTATTCAACGACGGCAACAGCATGTTTCTTTCTTTCCGCAACACGAGGCACACTTCCTGGCTTACTATGAATACGTCTGTTCTCCTCCCTGTAGAGAAAGAATATTGGAAATCAATAAATAACGACTCCATTCATAAAGGTTTAAAACAGGCTTCCAGCACTAAGTTGTCTCACAGGAGTTACTAACAACCACACAAGTCAGTAAGTCACGGTGTTTTAAAAGCGTATTTTGTTGTTAAAGCTCACAACAAAATGGTAAATCAACAGGATACCTGCACCTGAATGAGCTTTGTGTCCGAAAATCTTTAGTTTTACTTTTCCTTACTTCTGTTTCCTTTTACGAATTTCAGTGAACGTTCTTCTTATTTTGCGAGAATTTCCCTTTGGAATTTTGCGCGGGAAATTGGCGCACGGTCGGCCAGAATTCATCCCCTTGCGCATGCCCGACAATTTACCGCTGTGTTGATGTAACACAACAAAATGGCTGTAATGGCTACATACTTCCTCTTTATAGAAGCCATCATTATCTTCTTTTCCTTGGCTGCCTTAAAAACCGCTTTGGGAACATGGCGATGTCTAAAATAAAACAACAAAAAAACAAATTATTAATTAAGAGAAATCTTAAAGACATGCAAAGTAACCCCAATGAATGACCAGCAACTAATATCTCCCCGCAATGTTGCCCCCGAGTCACATCTTAAGGTCACGAGAATAAAGGAAATGATCACCAACCAAATGCGCCCTTGATTATTCATTACAAACTTCTTTGTTATCTTGCAAATTTCGCCTACCTTTTAATTCTTTTCAGCTGGGGATGATGTTTAAACCTCTCTTTCAACTTTGTATTGTAACTGAAAGCTGCTTTTTCTCGTGGTGCAAGCTAAAATGCAGAAGAAAATGTAGCTTACTAGATATGGAAAGAAAAACAACTAAAATTCAGTGAATAGAAAAATAACGAATGAATGTCTCGGTCTCTTACCGCTCCCAGCTTCTGTGAAGAATTAGCTTTCCATATTCTGTTAAGAAAGATACGTCCTCGTCAGTATAATGGAAATAATAGGAATGGGAAATAGGCAGGGGACATTCCACGAAGTGCTCTTCTTGTCCACTGTTTCCAGGTCGTATTGCGTGAATGCTTGCTTTACAGCTACGCTGTAAGATCGTCGCAACTCACCTGATATTTGTCTCGTCACTTCCAGAAAGTACATAAGTGGAATCCCCGCTGAACCTCACACAGGATACGCGTTGCATTCGGCTGGTATGGTAGACTTCCCTGTTTAAACAAACCAAAGTCTAGCCATTAGAGTCTGTCAAACTGAAGACCAATGCCGACATCAGACAATTGTTATGTACAAAATTAAAAAAAAAAAAAAGAAACCCTCGCCAACACAATTAAAAAGGTTTTAGCGGGAATAATTAAACTGAGCTGGCCTACCGAAAAAACTCTCACCCCACAATTACGCATTGTTGAAGCACAGGAAGAACTTCAGACTATTGTAAAAGGATTGGTATTATCTATGTTTATTTCCAGTTCAGTTACAAGTTTCCCATACACCGAATGCAAACATGGCGGCCTACTCAGTTGGCTTAGATTGAGTTGCATAAGAAACGAGGCTTGTACGGCCCCAGGTTTTGTTTCAGTGCGCGGTCCTTGAAAAGTAATGCGTCATGGTCGATCCATTCTGTTCCCTTTCGATATGCCTACAATTTTTTGTGTTCCTGGATGCCATCAAAAGGAAGCAAGATCAAGGGGAGAGCTTTTTGTTTTACAGTTTCCCTGTTCGCCTCTGTGGCGGAAACAGTGGATTCGTGGAGTTCGTTGGGACGAAGGAAACGACTTAAAGATCGCAGGGGGAACTAAAGTTTGTTCGCTGCATTTCAGGGGGGGATCATTTCATGCAACTCAACCCGACCGAGTGGTCGTCATATTTGTATCAGATCTATGATTTTTCTTTAAAAATTCTCTTTCAAGAATTCAAGACCCAGTGCAAACTTTGACTTAAAAACATCTTGTCTCTTTCTAAACCTCAGACGCAAATTTTTACCTGCTTCGCCCAGAATCCCGCTCAAAAATCCTTATCGTCTTGTCATAACTGCCGCTCACAAATTCTTGTCCCGTGGGTGAGTAATCTACGTCGAGGACGGCAGACACGTGATCCATGTGCACGTTGATTGGCTCTTTGAATCGGCGTATGTCAAATGTGTAAAGATTTGAATCCTCATTAGCTGCAGTGAAGACAAACGCTTCGAGTGGGTTCCAGGCCACTGTGTTGCTTCTCATTTCCATAACAACCTTACGCAGTGGAGCGGAACCCCGCATGTCGTAAAGGATGATGCTACGATCGGAGGCGGTGCTAGCGAGAAGGTGTGTCTGGGAACGAAATAACAGTGTAAGCAATGTTCTCCAAAGTTTTTTAGTAAGAGGAATAAAGCGTTCATTATTTAAATGTTTTGTTGTTGTTTTTTGTTCTTTATGGTATTCAACACAGATCGGAGAAAACCAAATTCAATCGATGGAGCAGCATTCAATCCAGAGTCACAAAAATCAAAACTAATCAGAACAAAGTTTTACATTATCATTAGCCAATGAGAACTAAAAGTCAAAACGTGCAAATTGCATAAAGCGCGGGAAAATGCGAATGGCCGAGTCGCGATTGTTTTACTTTTGCATCTGATTGGCTGAGTCGACGCCGCAAGTTTTCTGAACCAATCACAGTGTAGAGTAAAGTAAAAGCAAAATCAAAGCAATTTCTGATTACTCATGAGAAAATTGTTCTATAGTGCCGCGGCATTCATTAAAGTTTTTCATCAACTCAGAAGCAGCGCTCAATCAAGGCGCCAATTTTTCTGACTCCTCGTGCTTCTCACAAATGATAATTCGAACTGAGCTTGATGGAAAGAGACTTTTCAAGCTGTTTTCTGAATTTATTTTAAGTAAAAACACTTCACACAGTCTCACTAATAGAAGTAAATTTTCTCTCTACCATATTGATTATGTGTGGCATTTTGAAGGAAGTTTTAGAATTTATCAAAATAACGTAGCTATTGTAACAAACCGGGTTAACCCTTTAAACCCTAAGAGCGATCAGCATCTAACTTCTCATTACAATCACACTGCTGAATCAAACATTGAATTTATGAGAGTAAAGGAAATGATCCACAACTAAAGAGGCTTTGATTGTTAAACGAATTCTTCATGTCATTCACAAAGAGAATGTAGAGATGAACATAGAAAATTTTCATAATAATGTTAGGGTGTTAACCCTTTAACTCCCAGATCAAATTTGTAATTCTCCTTACTGTCAACCATACAATTCTTATTATGTCAGTTCAGAGAATTTAGTATTGGATCAACTGATTATCCCCAAATTGATATTTTTCTCTATTCTCATCACTTATCTGGTTGATATTGTATTGAAATTTTAAGAAGAAGAATTCTGTATTGGTCACTTTCATGGATTAAAGGGTTAAAAAATTCAAACAAAAGGTCAAACCTCAATAGGGTTGAACTTGATGCTGTGAATAGTGTCCACGCCCCAGTTGAAGCTTCGAATAGGATCAGCTCTTTTCTCGTTCCAAATGTCAACTTGCTCTCCACATGTCGCAAAGTCATTGCTCTTCCAGCTGTGGTCAATACCATGGTAGAGATTCTAGAGAAGAGAAGCTTCAATATCAGTGACAAGAATCAAAGTGGCACGGAGCCACTGAAGTTAGAAAATTAATCATACAGGTTGAGATGTTGAGTCCCCTGAACTGACTTCATATTTAAAAACTTTTAGTAAGAAAAAGTTGTATTTTATCCATATAGTCTGCTTGCTGAAAGAGAATTCCCAACAACAGTTACGCTCTGCAAACTTGGTGCAATGGATAGCGGTTCTTCTCTCAAGTGAAAGGGCTCTGGATTGATCCCTCGTGATGGCAGGTTTTCAGTTTGTTTTTCTTTTCTTCCATTTTTTGTTCATACAGAAAGTTGCTCTTAATAGTCAAGATTCATTCCAAACCAAAAGCAGTTTATAAACATTTTGTTCAACACATTGGAATAAGTGTTTGAAGAATGATAAACACAATAGTCTTCATTTGGCAGAAAGCATGCTCAAATATTTACACCCACATACATTATCTGTTCTTTGGAGTTCACAGTTTCCTCAAGGAAAACTATTCACTTCTGGGAACATATCCAGGAAAGTTTTTGCACCATTTTGTAAAAACCCTTTGATCCCCAAGAGTGACCAGCATCTAATTTCTCCTTACAATATCACCCTTGAATCATTTTAAGGTCATGAGAATAAAGGAAATGATCCACAACTTAAGAAGTCCTTGATTGTGAAACAAATTCTCCTTGTCAGCACTTTAGGAAATGTATAGAGAACAGTATGGAGAATATGCATACTGATGTCAGGGTGTGGAAGGTTATGGAGGCTATTGTTTATATATTTTTGATAAAGGAAAAAAATTAAGTTTTCAGTCTCACTGGGATAGAACCTTCATAACTTGTTTGATACATTTTTTTTTAAGTAATACCTTGCCAATGATGGTGTTGATTGGAGTCTGTGAATTCTCCAAGCTGATATCAAAGCTTTGTTCCATGCTCCATTGTTTTATAACTTTGTCATCCCCAACCTGTTGTGTGGGAAAAATGGTTACTTTTGTTTTCGTATGTAATAAGCTTATTTACACACTAATTTTTATAGGTTTTTACTTACGATCTACTGGCAGAGAAACACATAGACAACCTCACCACTAACAATCGTTTGCTTCCTTAAAACAAATAGATTCCATGTTGCTGTGAGTCTGTACAGTAATGGATCACAGAAAAAGTCAAAATGTGGAAAGAACAGCAGTGACACACTCTGCTGTGCCTTGTGTGCAAATTTTTTTTGTTTTTACGGTAACCACATTCTGACATCACCTGCCATCTATAACTGAACAGAAGCACTGCAACATGAAATCTATTTGTTAAACTAATAGGAACATCAGTAACCCACTCATCTGTACCTTGTGTACCACTTTTTCGTTCTAATGGTAACCACATTCTAACATCATCTGCCATCTATTACTAATTATATAATAAGCTCAGTTATGTATGCATTCGGCTTTTTTCTCACTTATGATCTATTGGAGGACAGACATATAGATGACGTCATCATTAAAACTTTTTTCAATTCTTTATTATATAAAACAAATAGATTCCAAGTTGCCATGCATCTGTTCAGTAATAGATCACAGAGAACATCAAAATGTGGTAAGAACATCAGTGACACACTTGGCTGCACCTTGTGTGCCACTTTTTTGTTCTTACCACATTTTGACGTCATCTGTGATCTATTACTGAACAGACACATGGCAACTTTGAATCTATTTGTTAAATAGAAGCACGATGATGTAAAGTGTAAATTGGCCTCCGTTGAGAGTTTCAAAGCTGACGTTTGGAGCGTTTTTCAGAGCAAATAATGAAGATCTTATGCTTGAAACATCAGCTTTGAAACTCTTAACGGTGGCCAATTTATATTATCAACTCAGTTGATAATACTAAATTACCCTGTTATACTCTCCCACCAATGCAGCACCACATTTTCTTTAGAAACTTACCCCCTATATTCAACTGTAAAACTAAGTACAGGTATAGAACTTACAGAGAGAAAAGTATTTCCAGAGGGAGAGGTACACAAACCACGCACAAAACCAGTGTGTGCTGTTAATGTCTTCAGGCACTCTCTACGTGGCAAACTCCACAAGCGAACCTAAAATATCACAAATACAACACATCACTCAATATCTTGTGAAATAATAACTGCAGCCTAAAGTTTGGAAAGTCTTTAGTCCCACATTAACCCCTTGTCCCTGAGAGTGATTAGCATCTACATGTAATTTTTCCTTACAATGACACCTTGTGTCATTGTAAGGAAAATTGTTAGCAATAATTAATTGCAATATCAACCAGACAAGTGATGGAAATAAAGAAAACTATCAATTAGGGGATTATCCTCATCAATAACAAATTCTCCAAACACCCAGTATAAGAATTGTGTGGCAGAGAGTAAAGCAAATCACAAATACATATGAGATCTTGGGAGTGAATGGGTTAACACTTTACGTCCCAAGATCTGATTATCAATTCTCCCATCTAACTGTTACACTTTTCCTTGTAAATTAGGTGCAAGAATTTTGTATTAGATCAACAAAACAACTTTGTTTTAAAAGTTGAAGTATCATTAAATACACTCTAACAAAGGGCAAATGCTGGAAACGTCAGCTTTGAAACTCTTAACAGTGGCCAATTTATGTTATCAACTTGTTTATTTTACTAAATTACCCTGTTATACTCTTGCACTGATTCAGCACCACAGTTTCTTAGGAAACTTACCCCCTTTAAGTATTCTTATTACCTGTTTGCTGAATAATGTATGGATATTATTGGGAGAAGTTAAATGTTGATCACTACTAGAAGTTTAAGGTTTATGTTAGCAAAATCTGATATATGAGATTTTTTTGCAAAATGAGAATAAAACCTTCTAACTGATGCATTTCTCTATTCTCATTGCCGTATAGTGGTGATGTATTAACATTATAAGGAGAAGTTACACTTCAAACACGTGTTCATGAAATCGATTAATCCCCTGAATCAGTCATTTCGCCACAGAAATGCAATAAATACCTACCTCTCCATCGCAAGACCCAGACAGCAACACAGATAGACTCCTTGGATGTCTAGCAATGCAATTTACACCGTCTGTGTGTCCGCCTAACGAACCAACAAACGGTTTGGCAAACACGCGTTCGAGTTTGATGGCATTCAGTGCCCGTGTATATTCGCGCGGTGCTTCGAATGGATGCAACGAAGGATCAAAATTGCGATGGATCTTATGAATATCGGTCCTTCTTTCTCGAATATAGTCTGCTGGGTTCCTTGAAAGGACCTTAACCTTCATTTTTGTTAACTTTAAACTAAGAGTTTACACAATCCCGCATTTGTGAAGCCGCCATGTTTTTTTGCGCCGTCTATACTACTGAACAGCGGAAAGAAGATTGCCTCGACTTGGGAAAGAGATAATCGCCTTGTTCCCATGACAACTATTGGCGCAAAAGTGAACAAGATGGCAGTATGTTGAGAAAGAAGAAAGACGCAGGGTTTTGATAGAGAGGCGTTTTTGATCACGATTCCCTTTCGATCTGTCGTTTGCTTCATGATCTGATAAAACAATGCTTTAAACAATGGTTAGTTTAAATTGATCTTTCTCCGTTTTTTATGACAGTGTTGTAGGACTTTTCTTTATTTATTTCGCCAAAACTTTGCTTGTGTACGTGTTGATGTGCTGCTTTTCGGCCGTGCTATGTCATTGTTCATTGTGTAACTATACTTCATCCGAACAGGAAAAATCTTCGTCGAGTGTGAAGCTACCTAACATAGAAAAGAAAAGCTCCGGAGGAGACGAACAGCCACGGGAAAAATTCCATGCGACAAACTGGAAATCTCTTAGCAAAAAAGAAATTCAGAAGCTGCCTCCACAACAGCGGAGCAAATACCTGGCTGTAAGAGACAGATCTTTTAGTTACCATTATTTTTGTTTTGTTTTGTTTTTTACTATTTAACCATAGAACTCCTCAAGATATGTGATGAGTAGTTCTTACCTCTACCTCATATTAAGTTCCTTGTAAATTACAATAACAAGAGACGTGTTCAGGATTTCCCTCGATTCGCTTAGACATTCAGGCTACTCCAATAACTCGAGTTCAAATTTATTCATCGCCATAAGCTCAACAAAGAATAGTTTTCCAATGTAAGATAAGTGATAAGGAGATCATAAGAAACTTTATATTAATAGGTCTTCTTGATGACTCGTAAATCATTAGTTGATTATTATTACCAGGAAGTAGGACGAAAGAGCATAACAAGTTCTGACTGGCCATTTTTTTAGATGATTCTTTTCTTGATTTGTTAGTACATTCATATGTTCATTTATTGCTATAGACAATATTGTTCATTTTGGTTTTCTTTTTCTATTGCTTTGAAGTACGAGCCTGCTCCAAAAGAATGCAATGAAGCAATGTCTGCAGCAAGAAAGAGATTAAAAGAGTTGGATAAGTCAAAACGAAAGTAATTATATATTGTGTTTGCTACCATACAAAAGATGTTACATCATGAATACACACATAACAGTAATGCAACTGAATTGAACATTTAGGTTATGAGAAGGAAGGAAGTGATCACCAGCTTTAGAAGTTCTTGATCGTTAAGCATTTTCCACTTGTCATTATTATAGGAAATGTATAGGGAACATTATGGAGAATATGAACTCTGATTTTTGAGTGTTGAGGGTTAAGAGGGAATTTCTACATCCCACCACTCTCTGGACAGGAATGTTATAGCTCATAGGTGGACTAAAATTCCTGGTTGATAAAACCCTTAACTCATTTTAAGTAGTATGTCATGCGTCCATCTAATGAGCAATTTTTAGACATTACTGTGAAAATAGGATTTCACAGTGTTAAGTCAGGAGGGGTTGAGGCCTCAGAACTGACAAAACAACTTCCCTATTCATTTATGGAAGTTGTGTTGTCACCTCTTTCCTTATCTGCCTGTGTCTCTGTCACTGCAATAGTTTCATTAATGGCCACACAGTTGTTAACAATACAGCTCAAAATGACAGGCATCAAATGCATTCATTTTCTTAATGCTGAACTGAGTTTCACTAAACATTTTGGTGAACTGCTTTTACAAATAATTTATTTGTGAAAAAATGAATTACCACATTTTATGGGTCAGCAAAACAGGCATCATTATCATCATTTTTTCCTCATTTTTCTCACTTACTAGAAAAAACAAATTTTTTGGAGAATTGGAAATAGTGCTCAAAGGCACAGGTTACTCCTCAAAAGCTTGGTTAGCCTGCAGAACAGGCGTGACTTTTTGTGTTTTACAGGTGAACAATGACAAGCACTAGGCGAGCATGAAGCATGTATGACTCGCACTTTGTGCTGCTTTGCGTTTGCCTCCATTCAACTAAAAAAAAGCAAAAAAAAATGCCTTTTCTGCAGGCTAACTCTGGGGTAGCCCTTTTTCCGAAAAGTAACTCACTACTTCCTATGATTCTTAGACTTTTTCTGAACCAGCACAGGGGTCTCAATAACTTTTTCCATAAGCTGTTGGCCAGTGGTTCAATAAGCAGCTATGCCATAAGGTAAAACCCAGATGCAAGAGCTCTCTTGTAGGTTAAACAGAGGCCACACAGGTGGTGATATACTGTGGGTAACTTGCTATTACTGAAACTCCTGCTACCATGTAATCATCGTAAAACTTTGCACAGGTCAGTCCTAATTTAATTTTAATTTTTTTTTTCAAAGGCAACAGAAGCCGCCACCATATGAAGAAGTTATTGAGGGTGAGAGGCATACAAAGATTATAGGACAACTAAAGTAAGTGAATTCATCTAACCCTTTACCTTTCAAGATCTGATTGTTAATCCTCCCCTCTAGCTGCTACACATTTCCTTGTAAATTAGTAAAGAGAATTTAGTGAGAATTTACAATTGAATTGAATTGAGAATTTACAATTTTACTCTATAACACTTTGTAGCAGGGTGCTGAATTCACAATGTAATATATGAGCTCGGACACTAAAAATGAATATGTATAAATATGCGTACGTCAAGATAAATATTGGTTAACTTGACGTACGCATATTTATACATATTCTTTTTTAGTGTCTGAGCTCATATATTACATTGTGAATTCAGCGCCCTGCTACAAAGTGTTATAGAGTAAAATTGTAACTTAGTTTTAAAGTGTAGAAGAGTACTTAGTCTGAATAATGTTATTTTCCTGCTTTTAAGATTCATAGTTTTTAATTAGATTTTTTAGTCTTAGGCACTAGAACAATTAGACACTTAAATAAAGGTTATGTTATGTTATGTTATGTTGTGTTAGATCCAGGTAACAATAACATGATAAGTTTTTTAGTATTCCCCTCACCTGTTTGCTGGGTAATGCAAGGATATAATAAGAAGAAATTCCATGTTCATTGCCTCTGAGATAAAGGGTTAACTCTTTAAACCCTGAGAGTGACCAGCATCTAATTCATCCCTACAGTAATACTGCTGAATCATTCATTAAGATCATGAGAAAGAAAAAAATGATCACCAACTAAAGAGGTTTTGATTGTTTAACAAATTCTCCTTGTCAGTATCAAAGGAAATACACAGAATGGAGTATGGAGAATATGAATACTGATGTTAGGGAGTTAAGGGCTAATGTTATTTGATGCAAATTTAGAATAGAAAGAAGTTTTTAAGTTTGTTGTGGGGGATACAGTGGTTGAAAGGCTAGTGCACTTTTCTCCAGGGCTGGGCTGTTCAAAGCTGGGTAAAGATAACCCAGGGTTAGCAAGAAAGAAAATTAGGTTGAATTTCTTTTTGTCTAAAATATCACTATGTGATGCTCTAAAAAGAACACAAAATTTTATCCCAAAAAGGCTTTTGAATAAAGGAATAAAGAAACCCTGATTCAAAGTTAACCTTGGGTTAGCACTAATTGGTCTTTGAACAACTGGGCTCAGATCCAGAGGTCTGGGTTTGAGACCTGGCCAGGTCATTATGTTGTGTGTCTTGGGCAAAACACTTTACTCTCACAGTAAAAAAAATGGGTATAAATGAGTACAGGCAAATTATCAGGGAACCCTGATGAAACACCAGGGGTAACCTTGCAATGGATGAGCCTCCCATCCAGGGGGAAGTAGTGATACTCCAAGTTGCTTCACGCTAGGGAAACTGGGATAAACAGGCTAGGGAAACTGGGATAAACTCTGGCTGGTTGGGCCATGGATTAATCTATTTATTTATCATTGATTTTATTATTTACCAGAGCTGCAGAAGCAAGGAACCGAATAAGGCTTATGAGGCTCAGATACCAAAATAACAGAGTAAGCTAAACCTTTTAACTGCGAAAGTCTAATTATTAATTCTCCTCTCAGCTCTAGCTGCTACACATTTCCTTGTAAATTAGCAACAAGAATTTGTTGTATCATAAAGGTAACAACTTTTACCTGAAAAGTGGAAGTCTAAGTGTTCTCGTTATCTGTGTTCTGGACAATTTATGAATACTGTGGGAAGGAGTTATGTGTTGATCACTTCTGGCCCTGGTTTTTCAAAGGGCCAAGGTACTTTGAAACCGTGGTTTTTTTTTTCTTTTTTAACATTTTACATATGTGTGATTACCTTCGAAATTCTAAATCTCACTCAATTGTTTTTTAGAGTTCAGAAGTGAACCATTTAATTGGCTGTCAACCAACAGCACTTAAAGCTGTCCGTCTTCAAAGCCTTGTGCCTCCGAGCCCTGACAAGATATACATCAGAGACTTGCTGGTGAAAAACGAGGTAAAATTACTCTCTCCTCAAATTGCAGTCCCCATGCATGAACCAAAAAAAAAATAGAAAACTTAAGAAAAACGTGAAACATTACTAACTAGAGAAAAAATGGTTTTAACATGAGAAACCGTACATGAATTTGAATCTCAGAACAAAATGCAATTTACATAGGCCCTATTTTGACTACTGCTTAAGTAGTGTTAATCACATTCATTTCTTAAACCGCAGTTCACATATATGATTTTCATATATTTAAAGTCATTGGTGACAAATATGATGTTGTGTGACACGAACGAAAAAGCATAACGCAAAAAAAGTCCTGACGCAGAAAAAGATACATCGCAGATAGGGCAGCAAACAAAAGATCAATGCAAATGATTAAAAAAAATACCCAGCAGGTGGCATCCAGACTAACAGCGAAACGAGGTCCACGTTCAGGCGAGTTCTTAAAAGGATTTGCCAGAGTACCTCTTAACTAAACTCTGTTTATATTGTTCATACTTTCAGAGATACCGAGTAAATTCGTTGTTAGAGGATGAAACGGGGTTGGAAACCGCACGCCTTCTCACGTGACCCAAAGTTAAATCATCCCCTGATTGGTGGACGATGAAGCTGCACAGGTGCTTTCCCGTTCGCGTCCAGTCCTTCTCAGTGAGCTTCATGATGTTTATCTTTCAAAAAAAGAAACTTGGAACCAGAATTCTTTTTATTGCAGTTCTTTATTTCTTCCTTCCCATTACAAATTCCGGTCCTGAGACAAAAACAAACACATTATGCACTCCGCTTTTTACAAACAAATCTTTCTAACGCGCCGATTTATAAACTTTAAATAATTCTTCACTGTATTTTGTTTAATTTTCTGATGTACAAAACCAACATGGCTGTGAGCCCTTGTGAATAAATATATGGATGATATGAGCTTAAAGAACTCTGTGTATAAAATATTTGTCGGAAATTATTCTTAATAAAAATATATAATCTTAAGTATAAATGAAATTTGAGTCTTGAATGCATGAAATTGTTCATTTAACAAGAGTAAATGAGGAACTTTCCTCTGAGGGTAACTCACCAATTGTCTTTATGACTTGTAAATGCCAATGTAATTTACAAACTTTTAGAGCGCTTTTTAATTTAGTGTTTTAAAACCACACCTACACCAAACTTACTATAACGGCCAATTAGCTCGAAGGAAAAATTGAAAAGGAACCAATGAAAAACAAACGTCATTAAGCGCGAAAAAAGGCGAGAGAGAAAGCCACGACTGGTTTTAGTTTGAACCTGATTGGTTGAGAAGGTAGCGTGAGTTTTTTAACAATCATAGAGCGTCGTGAAGCAAGATCAAATCAATTATGGTATTTCTTTATCACCCGATCTTATAGATAGCTAAACTCTGGAGCCAGGTACAACGCTTTCTTAAGCATGGTTACTAAGTAACAGAATAGTTTTATCTAACAGGCGGTCTTTCGTCATGTAGCTGAATTCCCTTGGTGAGGCTCAGAGCCTTCAGATATCAAGGCCAGCGGTCATTTGAAGAAAAGGGCTATGTAAGAGATGGTGGAAATTAGAGGAAGTCGCCGATTTAGGGTCATCTTTTACGACTGGCATAAGGAGAAGACACATATGACGGAATTGGCGCTGAAGGCTCAAACATTGGGCGTTCGTTTCTGGGTCTGTGACCAGCACTTTTAGACGAAACATCTTCACTGTCCTCGCTCCTAACTGACATTCCATGTTCACTTCGTGACCTAGCAAAGTTGTTTCTCTTTTGTTCTGGCAATTCGCCCCCAAATGAACCAGACAATCCTCGTCTCATTTGGGTGTTTTTGGTAGGTCTTCTTCGATCAAACTCTTCTTCGGAATCGTTCCTATAGTAACGGTTGTGGTGACGATTGTGAAGACCGGGGGTCACATCCGGGAGTGCTACCTGATCGTCACCCAAGTCAAAAGCATAAGCCGGAGAAACTTGCTTTTTCCTGGGTTTGAGTCGCGCCTCCTCGAATGTCTGCAGTGGGGGCTGAGTGCGAGATCTCTGTGGTTTTCTCCCTGGAATGCGGATGGTGAAGCCATACCCGTCCCCGATCAGATAATCAAATTTTAACGAGTCCATCTCTACAACGTTTTTAGGGGGACTGGGTGGGGGTTTCGTGCGTGTTGGCCCTGCTTTCGCCGTTGCCCAGTTCTGCTGATTTTTATTTGCAGCAAACATGTAATACGCCACACGTCTCTGAGCGGTGATGAAGTTCATCTCTGTGTCATCAGTTACGGCGAGAACCTGCGGTGATTGTTGAGGTTCCTGTGTTGCATACTAAAATGAAAAAGAAAAAGTTACATAGGCAAATGAATAACATTTTGAGATAATTTTTCGTTAGAGTAGACAGATGTTAATGTAAATTATGCTTCTCTGTTTATTTGAAAGTTTCCTCTTTTTACCTTTACTAGGAAATCTTTGTTCTCTGCCTCCTGTGAGCCACCGTTTTGCGATTCCTCTCTCTGTATGAAAAAGAACAGAAATGTTTTTTTTCGTCTTTATTTGCTTGATCAGTTGAACCACTCAGCTTGTCGATCCCCGTGAGTCACTGTGGGTCCTTAAGAAGTCAGGAAGGCAACGTCGAGGGAGATGAATTTACATTTTCAGTTAAAAATTCGCAAATGACTGGATGAGTTTACCACCTCAATCTCGGCATCTCGTATGTGATCAGAGTGGAGTTCCGAATGGAAACTTGAATAATTTGGCGTGGGGTCTCCGTTCTCAGACCACGCAAATTTTGATGATTTCAGGTTGCTTTGCAGATGATAGCTAAAATATTTGCAAAGTTTTAAAACGTCACCGTCGTGGTTTGCTCTGGTGTGGCATAATAGCGTTTTAACATTTCGTTCAATTCCTAGCTGCGGATTGCATTATTCAATTTATCAGCATTTGAGGCCTTTACGAAAAGTTATTTCTTACCCTTTTTGGTAACCTAGCGGCTTTAGCAACATCAATAACACAGGTTAATTGATGACATTGCGAGACAATTCCTTTAGACCAAATTAAATCAAAATAAACTATTTGAAATTATTTTTGAGGCATCCAAACTTGTCTGCAGTTCTAGTTAAGTAGAGAAGACTAAATGTGTTTACCTTTTTCGCTCGGTTTTGAATTCTCTCTTGAGAGAAGATAGGGATTCCACCATTTGTCCGGTGCACATAAGGATTCACAAACTTTCCAAAGTTCGTCTTTATCTTTTTCTGTTTACAAGAAGATTACAAAGAATTGGTCAAATCACTTATTTATGCGAGGAATGCGCATCAAAGTGTGGAGTCTTCAAGATGAACTTGTCCCCAGGCCACCGCAAAGAGCTTGCCGTCAACCCATCCTCCTCTCCCTCCCCAGTTATTGCCCCAAATGATTCTGAATAAGCTTTTTATTTCATAAATGCCCCACCCCTCCCACCCCTTCATCTCCCAGTCATTCACAGAACAGTCTGAAAATAATGTTCAGGTATAGAACAAGATGGAAAGCTTTGACTGACCTCGTCAACACTACCGAATTCGACGTCTGAGTTTATTTTGTTATAAACCAATCAACCCTTTCACTCCTAAGATCTCATTTATAATTTTCCTTATTGTCTTTTTCTGATTCTTACGATATTAGTTCGGAGAATTTGGTATTGGATCAACTCATACCCCCCTTATCGATATTTTTCTTTATTCTCATCACTTTTCTGCTTGCTACTGTATCGATAATGTAAGGAGAAATTTTGTCTTGGTCACTCTCCCGGTCGCAGTCAAAGGGTTAAAGGTGCCATTTGAATCTTTTCCAATGTGGTGAAATAGAGGAGATAACCTATTTATCTTCTTGTTTCGAGGCTCCCCTAAACTCCTAATATCATTTAACCCAAAACACCATACGACTCTGTACGAGCCACGAGATCGTAAATGCGATCGTAAGTTTTCCTAGCATGACTTTGAAACGTTAAACAAAAATTACAACAAATTTAAAATAATTTCATAGAAAACTGTAAACAAATCGTTTGGTTTTATTCATTAAACGGGAAAAAAAGACTTGTCAAAAAAAACGAACTTGTCAATCAAGAGTCTGTCAAAATTATTCTTGCGAAATTTAAATGGTAAAATTCGGTAAGTTTTGTTACAGTTATGGGTACTTTAAATATTTTCGATAACTTCCTGCTTTTTTTCATTGTGGTTATTGTAACGGTTTACTTTTCGTTGTTTTAAATATTAGGACCAAATTGTGGTTATGTTTAATTCTAAGCTATATTCATAAATAAGAACCTGGTAAGTATTCAAGTAAGTTAGTCTCATATTTTGGGTACTTTTATTAGTAGGAACAATACTTTACTGTGTGGATATTTCCACGCCATTCCCTACAGGTGTTCTGTCAAGGAACGATAACATCTGAGTTAGACAAGAAGGCAATTATGCATGCTTTTCATGAAGAGCAGTTAAACCATTTAGGTGCATTTTGCATATAATGCAGGTCATCTAGGTACTAAATCTCTGATGTTACGTTATGTTCAAAACTCGCAAAGGTTTTTCGCCGTTTATCCGTTTATCCGTTTATCTCAATCTACCAATGAAACGCCTAACAGAAATATCTACAATGGCTGTGAATAAGTGAATGCTTCTAAATTCTGCTGTGGATAACATTTTAAAAGTTAGGGGAAATTTATTAGAATTAATTTTGCCGTTTGCTTTGCTGTAAAGATTACGCCTAAAATTTCCAAACTCAACCCTCTAACTTTTATTTAAGTCCTACCTCCTTCATGCCGCCACTCTCGTCTGCCGTTGCACTGTCACCAGTTTCTGAAGCCCCGGGAGGTTTCTGAAAGACATTTGAAGAGAAAGATTATTTAAAACAATTTGTTAGTACTTTACGCTACCCAACGTAACTAGAAATGTATTATATATTTCTTTTCTTTGACAATTTGCTTCTAAACTAGCTTCTGCCAAGAAAAAAATTTTCTGGAAACAATTCCCAGATTACCACATCTTTTAGCAAATTTCCGATCAAAGCCGGCAAGCTTTTCCCGAACGCAACCTGAATTCAATTTTGTTTTCCATGGTGCACTTTACAGAGAAACATCCCTTGTAAAGATATACCGAGCAAATTTATAGCAATGCGACGTGGAGATGCATCGCAAAACACTTCCACAAAAAATTGTCGTTATCTGCGCGTTTTTCTAAAGTACGGGTTACCCGGTGATTCCTGACGTCATAAACGCTAAAGGTGTAACTATGGAAACAAGCGCGCGCAAAATTTCGAATCCAGCGCGAGAACGTTGGGCCTGGAAATATAATTAACGACTAAACATGGGGACATAACGTTACAAATTAAGCTTACCGATAATGTATCCCACCAATGTTTAGCTTTCTTTTTCTTCTTTTTCTTCCTCCTTCTTTCCCCCTTGAAAATCGTAAAAAAAAAAACCATCGGAATTAAGTACGCACGTTTAACACTTTTTCCTTCTTTCAATTATGTAAAATCAAAACTTCAACTTTGACGATTGTTCGTCTCCATGCGTGTTACATCAAGGTAACCGAAAGTTCAAAAACTTCAGACCTCCAATACCACAATTGATAAACCGGAAGCACGTATGGCAGACTACTCGGTCGGCCCAAGGTTAGCTGCACGAGAGGGAGGCTCGTGAGTCCTCGAATTTTGTTGCGGAAAATTGTCAGTATTCAGTTCGCTTCTTTGAAAAAAGCAATAGTAAAGAATCAAACTCCAGTCAATGATATAATGAATACAGCTGACTACCAGATACAGTAAATGGTTAGTGGTTTAAAGGACGTACTTCGCTTTCTGCTGAAGAGCGATCGATTCCACGAATAATGTGATCTATCATTCGCTAAAGAAGCGGGGCAAAGGAAATTAAGAAAACCCTCGATTAGCGTGAGCCCACGAAGGTTCGTGACCCATACAGGCGATTTTTTAACAGTCTCCTTTTTGACATGCGCAGTACATAGGTTGTACACTTACGGTATTGCCACTGGATCCCGGCTCATCTTCCTTGTCATCAAAGTCATTGTCGTCGCTGTCTGAGTCACTGGAGCTAAGAAGAAAGGGATCGATTAGGAAAAATTTTCAACAGAGTGTTAAAATAAATGCTGGATTGTATTGGGTTTGCTACGCTTTGCTCTCTGATCAGTCAGAAACACGCGGACGATCTTCAGCTATAAAAAATCAGATGCAAATCTTAAAACCACCTTCGATTTGGTGGGCGCACTTTCCCGCGCTTGGCGTACCTCGTTTGTTTCCCGCGTTCATAAACCTTGGCACGTTTTCCGCGCTTGGCACTGACTGCAACGTTTAAGGAGCTAAACCACGATATTTCACTTTAAGTTTATTTTACGCTAAACAAAACTATCGTGAAATTAGAGAATACCACAAAATATAAACATGCAAAGATAGAAAAATACTCAAGACACAGTATGAAACAGAGACGGAAAGAGGCTGAATGAGGATGGAGGAAATTTACACAGATTTAAAGTGGCTAACTTGATAAATTTCGCCAATTTTTTCCAGATTTATAAACTGTGACTTACGACCTTCAAGAGATCGCAATTCTATATAACCACGCCAGCCATTTTGTCATTTTGCAACTTCGGACTTAACCTTTTACACTCTAACATCAGTATGCATATTCTCCATACTGTTCTCTATACATTTCCTTGAGCACTGGCAAGGAGAATTTGTTTACTGATCGCGAGCTTCTTTAGTTGGTGATCATTTCCTTTATTCTCATGACCTCAATGTTTGACTCAGGAGAGATATTGTAAGGAGAAAGTAGATGCAAATCACTCTAAAGATTGAAAGGGTTAAGCGCACTTTTAGTTAGTTCCAAGGATCAATGTCAATATCTGACCAGCTGTGCACCTACCCCTCCCCTAACCTAATATTGACCCTAACTTGTTATTAGTTAAGTGATGTTGGGTTAGGGGAGGGGTAGGTGCGCAGCTGCTAAAGCACTGATATTGATTTAGTTCTACCGATGAAATAAACCGTGAACAAAAATATCAAACTTACTCTGACTCATCGAAGCGGTCCACAAGATTTAAATTATCTAGTATTTTCAAGCAATCGTTAAACGAATCCACGTGGACACCTTTGACTGAAACTTCCACATCATTCTCATGTCCCTCTGTGGGCGTTTGCAATCGAACATCCATAAAATTCACGGGTTTGTTCTTTGAGACTGGAAATTCCTTGACACCAGATTCATTTACTTCCTCGTTCTCCTTTAATGAATCGTTTCGTTGATTTCTTTCGTTTGCTTCTGTATTTTCGAGGCTGTTATAAGCAGCGCTGTCTTTGGAAACATTCTCCACATTGAAGTTGCCTACCATTTGACGAAGAATGTCTCGAGTCATCTTGCAAGCCAGCTCTACGAATGCCTGGGTCATTTCACTTCTATAAATAGAAGAAACATTCCGATAATTACTAAATGGCTGAAACAAGGCAACAAAGGGGAAAATCTAACAGAATTTCTGTAAAAGTACCAAAAATGATTCACTTCACGCAAGGAGTTAGCGCTTAAGACTTCCATAAGAGAGCTCCAGACTTAAGCCCCGGCGAAGGTCACTGTTTGGTATTCTTGTATGCTTTATTCCCACAATGCCTTGCAAATGCCCCGAAAGGAACTGTGAAACCGTGGCTGCATGCTAAGTTTAGATCCGCGAACTAGAATTGAGTAAGACTGCTAAAGGTTCTTGCCTAACTAAACTCATTCACGAACATTCTCTCTCACCGATTGCCACTCTTTGCTTCTGAGTACTCCAACAGCACTTCACAGAAATGTCGACCCATCTCTTCAAAGTCCCCAACATGAAAATGTCTACCTTTCTCACTAAAAAAGAAGTATGAAAACAGTGTCATGCTTAAATAAATGTAAGCGAACAATTGTATATAGAAAGCGACTATTAAGCCCTAAATTTCAACCCTTTCGCGTTCAAGTTTCTTCAAGCTTTAACTAATTGAAAGCAATGACCCCATCAAAGCCGGCCCAGAGTGGGGTTTTATAGCTTTGCGCAGAAAAAAATGTAACAATTAAATCAGCCACTTATGAAGCTTGACATCTTATGTCTGCATGTATGATGATAAAGAGATACATTCTCTATTACTTACATGTCACCAAAGTTAGCGCCACAGAATGTCGCCTCCATGGTAAAGCTGTTCGTAATTCCCATTTGACGCCACATGACCACACGCGCTGTTGACTCCTTGCACTTGCGCACTCGGAATTTACAACCACTGAATGAGAATTTGTCTGGAGCCTGGAAGAGAAAAAAAACATTTTTTTGCTCTCTGGGGCTCGTTTCTCTAAAGTTCCTTTAACTTGAAAATTTAAATTTAAGGAGTAGTGGTGTGGGTCTTAGTTCAGAGACGGGTTCACTTTTGCACTTTCATAATGTCTTTATTATTTATTTATTTTTTATTTATTTATTAGCGATATTTATGCAGGCTAACCCAGTTCAGCTTCAAGCTGGTTTGAATGCGGGTCTGATATTAAAAGCTAGATCTCGAAAGTACACATGGCAAAGAAAAAACAGGTTTTCGAGAAAAGTAAGTGCTGGAAAACTGGAACTTTCGAGAAACGGGACCGGGACATAAAATTTCTCCCCAAAATTGTTGGAGCCTAATAAGTGACAATAATTATGTGCTGTAATTTGCGAATACGTTATTGTGAGCTATTTATCTGCACTCCTAGGACTTTTAGTTAGTATTAACATCGGTATTTCTATCTGTGATCATCCCCAAAATTTTTTTTTTGTTTTTCACCACTTCAACGTGTCATTTCTTTAGCAACACCCATCATCTCGATTTAAAGTTAATTTTGAATCAAGCGCTGATCAACGCGCGTGCGCGATAGAACTTTAAAAGTAAAGAGGTGCAGAATTACAGCAGCAATCATCACATGTGCGCGTTATGGACCTGTTGATGCGGAGGTCAGTACTAACCTTTTGGGACATCATCCAAGGAAAAAGTCGCTCCTCGACAAAGTCACTCATCGATGCCATTTTGGGGTCAGCCGTGCAGCCGTACATGAAGACGTTTGGCTTGCGGCTATGTCCATGAAGATCACAGTAAATGATAACCTGGAACGAAACGTTTTGGTTTTGAAAAAGCTATAGGTACTTTGGACTCAATCTTCTGAACAGGGAGAAAGCAACACAACGCCTTTCACTACATCTAGGCAGTTCGGGAAGCCCCAAAACTGCACAGAAAAATGTATCTTTCAAATTGGTACTCTTACTCCCCCCGCTGCATCAACGAACACTTTTCATTCAACAAATTTATTTTTGATTTGTTTTGTTTTGTTTTTTTTCACGTCATTATGTTCCCACCAATAGCCTAGTTCGATCTCTCTGTATACATGCATAACCCAGACACAACCCATAATTCCTCTACTCGCTCAGACGAAGGGCTAACGCTCGAAACGCCAGCTTTCTAAACTCTTTAAGGTGGCCAATTAACATTATCAACTCAGTTGATAAAACCGCACTTGATATCTTTAAACTTTCTTTTACCTGATGGTCCTTTTTGAATGACTCCAGCATATTCTTCATGTGCCAAACAGTTGGAAAGCTCTCCTGTAACGTAAGAAATTCAATAGCTCAGGGTTTCTTTACAAGCCGCGAGCATCCACTTTTAATTTGAAGAGTAGCCTTCAACAGTGTGTACCACTAAAGTTTAGGTCTAGTGGACTTGCTACTGTTCAAACACAAAAAGTAATTTTGGAAGCAAAAAGTCGACACTTGCTTAGGGCGACTGTTTTCGTGCATAGCCAGTGAGCTACTTTTGCCTCGCTCCCTCAGACTTTTTGGAAAGTTTCAATCTAGTTGTTCTTCGTGAGAGATTATTGACCTTTTTATTATTTTATTCACGTTTTAGAACATATTTATGTTCCAGTTGTCTCATTCAAATTGATAAACAGCCATTGGAAGTATGCGTATGTAACCAATTTTTCATAACAAGCAGTTGTTACCTTCTTGGGGTCTTTGTACGTCCTGTTCAAGTCTCTGGCGGCTAAATTCGTTCTGTAGTTACCAACAATTACGCCGTCTGGATTCAGCATTGGAACTAGCTTGAACACGAACTTTCGACGAAGTTTCTGCACACAGAAGACGAAAAGAAAACGTAAGTGACTTTCACACGGCTCTAATATATTAGGAAAGGATCTTAAAGGAGTCAGTTATAGCTTTTACAGGTAACGGTTGAAATTTCGGCCATTATAAGGCTAACGCTTAAATTCTTTCCGTTACCGCTAACAGGAAAAAATTTTTAATGGTTCTCCTTTTTCGACTTACGGTTAAAATCTGGCTATATTACACCTAACGGCTAATTTTGTTTGGCCGTTCTACAGATAACGGTAAACCCCAGCGAGACACTCCTATAACATGAATAAATACAGTCACATTAAAGGAAGCTCATCATTTCTACAGAAAACTATAATAAAGAGGGCGACAAATGGTAGTTCTGTACTTTTCCTTGATGAAAAAAGAAAACAGAGCAGAGATTTCTACACGACCTCATAGGTGTCTTTGCAAAAACGAAGACAGCGGAATAACTCATAAAAAGTGACTTAAAACTGAATTATCAATCATTTGAGACAACGCAAAAAATGGAAAACAGGAAACTTTAACTATCTGTCTGTCAGTAAATCGGTTAAAAGGTTATAAAGTGCAGAACCAGTGCAAAGCTTTCTAAAGGTTACTCGAATCAAGCTGAGATCGGTAATTTCAAGGTACAGCAAATTTTATAAATCAATAACCGCATCATATAATTCAACGATTCGTTACACTTTGTTTGCACTTTGTTTGAGGGAAACTGGAAACTGCTGGTACCTCTGCAATATGATGACCGCTTGTAAGGAAGTCCAGCATGCCTTTCATCATCCAACTAGCGTTCGTCTCTCCCGGATGTACCCTGGCGCTCACAACAACACCAAGCTTCTCGCTTTCTGGAACTGTAAAAAGAAAAGCATGTTGAGGTAGGCTATAACCACCATCTCTCTTCCAACATGAGAATTATTACTAAATAACGAAAAAAAATGGCGACATAACTGAGCTTAGGGTCTTTAACAAGGATTATATCGTAATTGTCATCTCTCCTCCAGGGTGCGGAAAAGAGAGGAGCTTGGGAACGACATTGAGATTAAAAGGGCTATGAGCAATCGTTCGTTCCAAGCCCCAACAAAATATGGCCCAAGAAGATAAGTTCCGCGGCCATTGGGACAAAGAGATAAACCATTGAGCTGAACTATCTAGGGCAATAGTAGCATCATTTCAAGAAAAAGACAATTAAGGACAGTGATATCCATACGAAAGGTCACGTTGAGGTTACCTTGAGAAGATGTGATAGTCAGCACATGGCAATTGTTTCCAGCCATAGTTTTACACAGTACCTGTGAGAAGTGAGAACAGTGGAGCTTTAAACGTTTTACACCCTAATATCAGTATGCATATTCTTCATGCTGTTCTCCATAAATTTCGTATGGCACTGATGAGAAGAATTGTTCAACAATCAAGAGATTCTTTAACTAGTGATCTGTTCAACTATTTTCGTGACCTTAATGTATGATTCAGGGGTTGATATTGTGAGGAGAAATTAGATGCTATTCACTCTCAGAGGTTAAAGGGTTGATGTTGCAAAACTTGACGAAAACAACTCTACAGAAACCCACTTTAATTTGTATTTAGACGAACTTAACCACGAAATTTTGAGTAATTATGAAGGAAAAAGGGAACTGCCGTTTAGTCGTTGTTAAAGTCAACAAACAAAATCTGACCAAAGTTATCATAACAGACTAGAAAGACTGTAGATCCTAACATCAGTATGCATATTCTCCGGAGTGTTCTCGATATATTTCCCATGGTATTGACGGATTAATTTGAAAAAAAAAAAAATCAGGTTCTTCCTTAGTTGGTGATTATTTTCGTCATTCTCATGATTATAATGTTTGATTCAAAAGTGATATTACAAGGGGTAATCAGATGTTGGTCACTGTTACGGATTAAAGATAGAGCCGGAATATTAGGACGGATTTCAAATGAAGAACTTGAAAACGGCCTAAATTTTCCAAGCTGGACAAACTGTGACATTCTTGGACTTAGAATAGACCCTCCTTCTCGGCGAAGTCGCGTCGCACGGAATTCTGGAAGTTCTACTCTTAGTGCGCCTCAATCCCAGAGTTTCGCGAGGTGCTATAGCATCAACCTTTGTTTTTTCTGATTTTTTTAACTCGTGCGACGGACTTCGCCGAAAAGGAAGGATTTCTCGTAGTCTATGACATACTCCTTCTGGGTAAATATTTTAAGTTTATTTACCTCCTGTTGAACGTGTTGAGAAGTCTTCGGATTATCGATGATGGATCGTAAGTAAAGTTCCAAGTCAGTGTACGTGTACGGATAACAGTGAGCAAGGTAACATGTGTCATCCTCATGTGGAAACTCCTAAAAAAATTAACCATGAATGTAATTTTACGTAGAGATAATGAAATACGATAGTTTTCCTATCAAATCTGACCACCAGAGCAGAGATGGTTTAAAAACTAGAAAACAAAGCTAAAATTTACCATGTGAAATGTAAGAGTGTAGTAGACATATTCCCGTTGAAGCAAAGGACTTTTATAAGATGAAGTCTTATAATAACTAATTAGTGAACCGACTCTTTTCCAACCCAGACCTCTCGCTTTAGCATCACGTTCGGAGTACATCAGCGGTTTCATTCCTGAAACGAGAAATACACGTCACGTTCACGTCACGAGTTACCCAACAAGAGCAGGGAATTCATTACATTTAGTCTCTATGGAATTAAAAAACTTATTACAGCTCCGAACAGAGTGATAGTCTTTTCATAACATTTGCTTATTATTGCGGAACTTTCACGACCCGACCGTGATCGTATTTCGGGATTTCTAAGTAACCTTTTCGTGCTGATGTTCTCCTCCGTGTTTGACCGCTTTCAAGGGAGAATATGCAGCGAGGCAAGTGACGCAGGCCATGGTCCATATCATAGACGACCACGCCCATTGAAAAGTGACCTGACATCATCTTAAGATTTTGCACTTTTTCAAATCCCATAGTTGAGATTTTACAGACATCAGAACAATAGTTAACTGAATACGTTTCGAAAGCAAACAGCTCCAATAAAAGATCTAAATATTCTACAGCGGAAAGCGCGCAGCGCAACACTATAACGAAGAGAATGTGGTAACCAACGAAGGCAAGAAAAATTGGTCGTAACATCAGAACCGCAAGTTTGTCCGAGCACTACGCAACCGGCCTTAACTTCACTTATGAGAGGTGCGTTTGAAGCAAGATAAATCTCTAACGTGGAATAGCCAAAGAGATAAGAATTTCAAAATTTAATTTGCAGAAAATAATATTAAAATATTGTTAGAAGGCCATGATTCGCTAAAAATTGTTAATTTTTTCGGTAAATATGTTCTAAGCCAAGGTATAAATAAATTTTAGCAAAAACCAAAAATTCATAAATGGAAGAGTTTCCACTGACGTCAAGCCCAGTAGGGTTGTTATTGATCAGACTTGCGGAGAAAGTAAAATTCCGAGCATCGCTTTTAAGCTTGTCTGAATATATTCTTTATTATAGAATGAGATTAAAAAAGAATAAAATATCTGGAGAAAATTGTCTGATAACTAAAACCCACCGTAATTGTATAAACTGTCTTTTTTCAGCAAATTGATTATGTTAAACTTGTAAGTGGTGCCAGGTACCATGTCTTGGACACGGAAATAATACCTATTATGGGACAGAAAAGAAATATTTTAAGCGTTTTTTTTTTCTCTTCCTTTTTCGTTTAGCTATGTCATAATCACAGTTATTTTGTGTTTTTGATAACAAACTAGGAATTATAACTGTAAAACTGTTTTCCTTACCATTGCGTGTGTCGTTTGGTGTACAAGTCACAACTGAGAATAAGATCATACTCATAACTTCCTCTGAAAGACAGGAATGGCAAGGAAATCAAATTGAGATCATAGCTCAAAGGTGCATCATAAGGGTTCCTTACCAGGGTCAGCTCAAGAAATAAAAATTATCTGTTATAAACCAGAACCAATAACTGGGCAGCAGAACTTAAAAGATTGAACTTTTACAGTAATAACTTAACTTGACAATACTTTTAAAGAATATTTCAAATCAGGGTCAAAAAAACTCTGGAACTGCATTGACTTGCTTTACTGTGCTTTAGGATTAAAAGAAAACATATGCCACCCTATCAATAGCAAAACTTAAATCATTTACTACTATATATGTCATCACACAAGTTCAATTTAAGCTCAGATTGGTTCCAAGTATTTCCTTTGTTCTGATTGGTCAAATTGGGGTTGGTTAAAAGATAAATTTACTAAATGTGACCACTAGTGTAACTTTTGAACAATTTCAGTTTCAAAACTCTAAAATAAAAGTGAAAATAAAACCAAAAAATAAATTGGATGTTGGTAGTAGCATTTCCATGGAGTGGCTATTTGTCCAGCATGTTCTGGTAAAATTGGAATTTAGAGTCCTGATTTTGTGAAGGGAGCAAAAGTGGAAAACCTGGAGAGATTACTTTGGAGCAAGGACAGGAAATCACAAAAATTCAAACCACAAGTGACCTCAGGTTTCAGGATCAAGCTGGGGCCACAGGTGAGGGGGGGGGAGGGGGGAGCTAATACATTCACTTCCATGCTATCCCTACAGCCTAACGGCCTCATGTGTCCGTTGAATGAATGCTAGTTGCTTATGATTAATGGCAGCACCAGAACAAAAGTCAGGGGAGTCCAGACACCTCTTCTCCCACCATCCTCTTAATCATACCTCTGGGGGTCTTTACTTCTTGTCTGATACCAAGAGTGTAACACTGGGTGAAGGGGAGGAGGGAGGGGTGTGGGTTGGTTAAGAAGTAATCATGGACCTCCTTACAAATATATTTTTAATTGCCCAGCCAACAACAGTTACAAACAGGAAAGGGGGGGGGAGTGATTTAACAAGAAACCTTTGGCATAATCAGTCACTGTTCGATGTTCAGCTTAGTGCTTTGGACCAATGAAAAGAAAACTAAAAGAGCAGAAATGTAAGTTCTATGGACTCAATGCTTACATTCTCTTGACCTGCTTCAGGTTTCCACATTCAAACCTTGATTCAAATGTAAGACAGGGAGGACACCCAGCTGGAACATAATGAGCTTGGTTACCCTGTGACACAAAAGAACATTTTTTTTTGTTTTGAGACATGCAGCTAATATTTGATCAATGAATTAGAACTCCTAAGACAAAGCAAAGGATGTTGTCTCACTGGAAGTCAATTAGCATGGTGTGAAAGATACTGTAAGGGGAAATTAAATACCTGTCACTCTTAGGTGTGAAAAAGTTAGCATCAGAAAGAGGTTTTGCTTATGCAAACCCAAATGAAGCATGGGAAATTTATGGAATTTTAAAAACATGTGTGAGCTTGGCTTACACATGTTTAGTCAGTTCCTCATTTTTCAAAATCAATACACTCAACCAACTATATCTATGAATGCATGAAGCATCTTGGAGTATTTCACAAAACAGTTGGTACATATACATATTTTGCAGGATGCAGTTAATTAATAATTAATGTAACTAGCTTGGGAAATCGCTGGCACTTTTGTAACCGAGTGAGTTAGACACTCATAAAGACCCCTACATTAAATGGTTCTTATATGTCATGCAGTGAAACAATTGAGTGAAACCACGTAGAGACTGAGGTCTCCACTGTTGACACTCCGTCTTTTCATATCAGTTACATTCTTTGTTTCAAAGGCATATAATAATTTTCCACCGGTTCCAGGTTTACCTAAGGCCATACCGCTTTAAGATTGTCTGTAATAAATACGGTAGAAAATGAGAAATGTAACGGCTCTACCGATGTCAAAAACCGATACCAGTTTGATAGCTAAACCGACAGGAGCAAACTAAGAATTTGTACTGGTACACACGACCAAGAAGCCAAACTCAGCAAATATTTCAGATATTTCTGAAGAAACAAACAAATTCACTGCAGGCTGGAATGCGTTTGAAAGCGGTCAGAGCTTTTACTGTGATGAGAATGGAGCCTGGCCCAGAGAGGCAGATTCACAAGGTGCAATTCTGAAATATGTATGTGTAATTACAGTTTCGCAATAATTTTTAATCTAATTTGAACCCTCAACCTGCAACCTGCAAAATATACGCGCCGTACATTATACCATCTTCGTCTACACTACTCTCTATAGCATGGAGCATTTGGGAGTATTACCACCACTCCTAGTGGGATACAAGTATGATTAGGAGATTACCCCCTTGGTCGGAATTATAATGGGTGAACATTGTCATTAGCTGAATGCAGCCATGTTCACCTTGACCATTTGCAGAAATAAAACGAAGTATTCTAACTTTCAATGTTTTAATTGCATACCTCCCCTCTGTTCTGTCGTTCATAAACTGTGAGGTTTCCTCGCCACTGTTGAGGATACAGGGATTCTTCATTAGGTACTTTGTGTCCAGCATTGGCATTTTCAGCTGAAAAACAAAAAAAATTGATGATGCAGAGACAACATAAATAGCTTCCAAAATAATCTACTAAATACCACTTCTTCCTCACACACAGCCCCCCCCCGCTCATTGGTGTTTATTTGATTCCCTAATGCTTAAAACTTTTAACCTCTTTCCACGCCACGACCGATTGAAAGAATTTTTTCACAGTTGGATTTCAAAAGTAGCCAGCTGGTGTTCTCCTTAAGCAACCTCCCCGCTATTATCTCGACACAAACACCAACTAGACAGAAATTTTAAATGCAAATCTAATGACACCAATGTTTGACTAAGAGGATGTGTTACAACAATATCACTTGACAGCAACCTTTCGCAAGGCATTATTCAAATTATTATGCCGTAACTCGAGAGATTTTATTCCCTTTGCGTTGCGGCTGGTACTATATATTAAGTGTTAGTTAACAAATTAAAACATTGTTACTAGCGCAGATTGCTTTTTCAATGCGAGATATGTTTTGAATGGCTTCAAACAATATTTCTTTGTTTGTTTATCCTGCCTGCGTGACTGTTAATATTCAGCGCTATTCAGCAACGTCTGCTTTTCACATTTGCGCTTGAACCTTTCAAAACACGAATTTAATCGCCTCGCTCTTTGGGAATTGTATAGAATATTTTATTGCAAAAAGATTTATCTGATTGTGAAAATGTAAATGTTCAATCTGAAATATAGAAATTATAATGATTTGGTATGGAAATGCATCAATCTCGATTATTCATTTCACCGACGTTAACCGACATTTGTAATGTGATCCCAAAGCCAATGTCGATTTCATATGCGTGACTTGTTAATTGCATGTTGTGAAGTACTTTAGACTAAACTTTACTGGAAAATTATGAAACACGCTAACGTTTGTTCCTAATTTTTCCGTAACCAATGCGCTTAAAACATCTAAAAGTCTTCAAATTACGCGCGAACGCACACAATTATCACAAGGTCCATGGAAGGCGTGAATTAGTTTCAATGTGTGCCTAATGGAAATCCAGTTCGCAAACAAATAGATTTGTTGACATGCATGGCGAACTTTTCAACTTAAAAGCATTTCACCTACCTTCCGTGTTCAACCTTTCGACAAAATCGGGGATATAGTGAATATGTTTCTGACATGAAAAACGCGGTAGGTGATCTTTGGGCCAAAATGGGCCGGGGATGTCATGTTGATCGCCATTGTGATCGATCCATACACATCCTGGTGAACGTTTATAAACAACAGTAGTGTTTGCGTTTGAGCACGTTTTACCTGCATTATCGAGTGCAGCTCGCGTGTAGATGCTAAATCGTTTGTTAAAGTCGTTTGATAAAGGATCTATGTCGTCGAAGTCACGAACAGAATTTCTTGTCGAAGATTGATCGAACTTAAGAGATCTCATCGAACGTCTGATCGCGTACTTCTGTAAATATTGTTGACGTCTCTGAAACAACACCCCGTCGTCATCATGAAAAGACGGATAGCTGTAGTTACGGTTTTCTGTTGTTCTGTGTTTATCAGAGTCTTCCATCTCTATCTGCCTCCTCCGTCGCTCTTCTGCAAGCCGTTGTTCGTGTAATTTTTTTCTCTTTTCACCCGGTGGAGTTCCTAAAGCGGCCCGCACTTGAGATTGTATACTTTGCTCTACGGATCTTTTAATAGCAGCCACCCAGGATTTTCGATCTCTTTCGTCTTCGAACAAACGTTTGGCCTTTTCTGCAGACATCACTTCTATTTCTCGATGCAACTCCTCCTCTCTCTTCGATTTCCAAAGTCCATCCGCTAAGAAGCCCTCGGCCGTTTTTTCAACCAGTGCATATACCTTTCCTCGCTGCTTTCTCTCCAGTGACTCTGCACTAAATTCTAACTCGTCTGATTCTTCTAAAGACATCTCGCGTCAGAGAAGTCGACGTTTCGTGAACGATTATTTACAAAGTGATTTCAAATAAAACCGAAAATAAGGACATCCCGTTTGATCATAGCGTGTCGTCTACCCGCAGAAAAGCACACAGGCGAATTAGCTTTCTGTTTCCATAGCAATCCGTTTTGTTTGCCGCAAAAGGTTTCAATTACTTCACACATTGTTTGACATGTGAGTTTGTGTAGACAAAGGGGTTTGATTAATACTTAAAATTGACTCTTCAATACAAGAAAACCACATCATGTAGGTATGAAAGTTCATTTACAAGTAAACTGGTTTCCAAATATTGACTTAACGAGACGAGAAAATAAACGAGTGTTACTCACCCAAGCGTATGTTTTGCGTTTGAAAAGATATACGACCTACTTCACAATGACCACCGCAAATTAAAACAGGCCTTTCGATAAACGATGAAACGGCAGAATTTCTATAAGCAATTATGACTGATTTCAAGGTCGAATCTCCTCCATCTTATTCTAGTCTACTCTACTTAGCGGTCTGTGACCTTGTCCAGAAACCTTGAACGAAAAAAAGTATCGCAGCATTCGCAATTGTATACGTCGAAACCGTGGTGTAATTGCGATACAAATCTACGCAAACATGCTTTGGGAAATACTTCTCTCTTCGGATGACCGCGGATAAATTTTCTTACGTAGGTATAATCGCGACTGCGGTGCAAAATTAAACGTTATTTGCAAAGGTGACAAGTTCTTAATTGGATCTCTGTACAACGAAATCGAAGAAGAGCAAGCGAAGTACCTCTTCCGAATAAACTGATATTCTGGCAAATAAGTGTCAGAATGGTCAAAACTCATTTTCAGAAAAATTGTATCCGGTCGTTCAGTCTTTTGCGCCCGATGTATAAGTCGTCTCATCTATGAGTTGTGAAGAGTTCTTTAAAATGGTATCTTAATAAAACTAGCGTTTTATGAGTTTTTGTAACGAGATACAACATGAATGGTTTAATATTTTTCTTTTCTATGCTGACATCACAACTGACTTTTTACCTCAAACATTTGGCCTCGATGCGTTTATTTCGCTTTTGATCGCAGAAGTTCCGAAGAAGATTATCTGTTGTTTTGATGACACTCAACAAATATCTACAAACATTACCCTTTGTAATTTTATACAATATCAGGAATGACCGACTACTAAGAGTGATTATGATCTAATTTCTCCCTACAATATCAGGAGACTACAGGAAGTGATCACCAACAACAAATAGCTGTTGTTGTTAGCCTGACAAACTCTCCGCGTCAGCACCTTAGGAAATCAGATACTACTTCAGATTACTTTAGGTTATACGCTTCTGAGCAAACGTATAGAGAGAGGTAAGGAGAATATGCATTCTGATTTTAGGGTGTAAAGGATTTGGGTTGAGTCAATTTTCATGCAGTCATGCCTGTAACAAATTCGAAGGTGAATTTATTTGTTGATGGCAACAATTCATTAGTTTTCAGCAACCAGAAACAGCTAACGATGAATGGCATCCTAATCGTAGTTGCACACCCCTCTAAGGTTTAATGATTTAAACAAAGTGTACCCGTTGTTTAACAAAACCGCGTCCTAAACAATCCTCGATTTTGCTGAACCTTTAATTCGAACATTTATCTTTGTAAACTGCGTCAAGAGGGCCGAAAGTTAACCGTGTACATGCATGGTCAAAGGACATTTATTTCATTCAATCAATCCTCTAGATCTTAAAGAGAGAGCCTGAGCCCTACTTCTTGCGTAAAACTGTGGTTTGGGTTAGACCTCGTGGCACTAACACTTCAAACTCAGTTCCCCACCCGTTCCCTTTACTTGTACCTCCATCTGCGAGGATCAAACATCGACCGTCCGAAAGAAAGCAAGGCGCGCGAATTGAACATAGCAGGAAAACGCGAGTGACCAAGTCGTGATGATTATAGCCAACGAGGCCTGTAGGACCGAGTTGGCTATCAATCAGCTCATATCCAAAGAGCGCTCATGCAATAATTGTTAATTATTTTCTGAGTCTGACGTCAAAAGCGCTGCGGTGAAGATTCTATGATATTTAAGAAAAGTTCACAGGAATATTGAAAGTAAAAAGAGACGGTGGAAATAAAACTTTAACTCACATCTTAACTACAAAGAGTTTGCATTACAAATAATCCAGTCTCACCAATCAACATTCAGATCCGTGATCTCGTTCTCTTGTGGTGTAATTTCTCGGGAGTCGCGTATTCGTCTTTCTGGCTTGCATCCAATCGTATCTGATTATACACCCGTTCCCAGGATTTCTCTTCTTCTTGCTTGGAGCCAGGCTATTTCCGAATTACCTTCGGCCACATTTCCAAAGCGAGTCCTGGTGTTCATCCTTTCATATGATTGTAAGTTTTCACTCACATGCAAATTAAACTGATTTTCATACAGAGGGTTGAGCACCAGGCCTCGTTTTGAAAAAGAGGCAAAAGCAATTCAGAAATTGCAATGTTGCGACTGCTTAATAACCTGGAATAAAATATCCCTCACGCAAGTTACTAAATAAGATTTCTAAAACGATCGTTGGTTGAAGGTTTTGATGCTCAGGCCGTCCGGAACCTCTGGGCTTAAAAACTTATGTCGAAATACGTTCAAAACAGTGTCTTTATTCAAAACGTATATTAAACATAGGTCAAAATTTGGGGCGACGGAACTTTTAGTTGGGGGCTTCGCAACCATACTTCTGGGCGACAGAACTTCGTGTGAGGGCGACGGAACTTGGTGCGACCTTGCAAAAGTCGACCTCACTCTATTTCTTCTAACGACCTCATTTCACTCGACGAGAGTATTGTATGAATGTATAAAATTAACACAAACAATATCACATTCATCCTCGCACCAAGGGTCCATTTCTCGTTTAGCCATCGGCAAGGAGATGGAAGAGGGGAAAGCTAAGTAAGACCGAGCAGCTCTGGGAACGAGAGTGAACTGCAATCTAATGAATTTAAAATAATAATTGTCTCTTACTTTACGACTGACATATATCAACTAATAACTTCCGATGGTTTACTGACAAGAAATAAGTACCGACGTAAAGAAACAATACTCGTTTAATTTCAAAAAAAGGCTGCAAAAAGAGACAACTAATTGAAATAAGGGCATCTCTAAAGTATCACGGACGCCCGACTTTTTCGCTCCGACGGAAGCTGAGCATTAGCCGTAGAAGGATGTACGTAAACTATACGCAGAGTAAAGATATATCAATAGACATTAATGTCGGCGTAAAACATTTTTATACTACTTGCAATGCATATTCTGAAGGCCTTCAGACCAAACTGAGATACGTGAATAAAAGGGGTAAGTTTCTAAAGAAACTATGTTGCTGCGTTGTATGCAACAAGATAATTTTTTGGTTTCACGAACTGAGTTGGTAATGTAAATTGGTTATCGTAAAAGAGCTTCAAAGTTGACGTTTCGATCGTTAGCCCTTCGTCAGAGCGAAGACATGATGCCTTAACCTAATCTCTTTTGTTATCAAGGCATATTGATCCTCGTTTCAGGCTTTACCGCGGGTTTGTTGATAGTGATCTTTTAGTAGCCAAAGGCTTAGTGAGTTAAACGAATTTTTATCATCGATCACCTAACGGGAACAGATACCCGATAAAAAGAAATGAAAAAAAAACATTTAGAGACATCTATAGGCGAAAGCGAACATGCGGCAACACCGTATATCGATGTTTGTCTTTCATTCAGAAGTCTTTCTTTCAACCTCATCGACATGATCTAAAGTATACTAACATACCGCAAACGGAGAAATTTTTCAACATAAAATCTGAAATAAACTACCTTTTATCTTCAGGTTGCATTTCGTAAGTCGCAAACTTCAAAATGAACGCTAAGAGGCAAATCTCTGACTCTTAAAAAAATGTTTCCTTAAAAAATAAAAAGATAAAAGCTTCTTTTCGGAGAGAAAAGAAACAAACCGGCATCTAGCCATTCAGTGTTGTTTTGGTTGGCTTTAGACGAGAATTTTTTTTATTTGATGCAAAAATATCCTCTAAGAAACGAGAATGAAGTAACATAAGATAAGGCAAATGGATATAGCAAAAAAACAGGAAATAAAAAGCAGAGATAAGAATTAATAGCTAACGGAAAGTCCGTCAAAAAAAAAAAATAAGGTCAAAATATCAAGAATAATGCGTTTTAATGTCCAGAAACCTCATCATATTATACTAGGTGGTGTGGGAGCATACTGAAATTTTCCAGCTCTGAATATTTTTGCAGCAGATAACCTATGATAGATGCTGTTTAAGAAATTAACAAATTTTTCAAACTCGACATATCAACTGTGCTCTTTGAAGCTTCTAAACTCACGGTATTTCTTAAGGGATATTAAAACAACTAAAACTGAGTAAATTGAATGGCGCGTCTCAACCTCTCCCTTTATATTCTTTTACGACATTTGCTATTCAAAACTCAGAAGAAGAGTTGCAGATTTGTTTTATAATAAAACAAAAGGATACAAAAATGATAAAGCAAAGGAAGCCCAGGCATTGAAAAGTTGCTCTTGGTCCGCCTCGTTTCCATGTCTGAGAGGGGCTCCAAATGACCGTGAGGCGTAATTTCTTACCCAAATAAATTTCAATCTTAAATTATCCCTTCCGCGATTAGAACCCCTGACCAAGTTTACATGAAAAATTTAAGTCAAAGCGGTGAATCTGCTGGTCCGCAAAATTTTGATCCGGCTCCATTTTTAGGGACCATCGTTCTTAGAAGCTTAAGCGAAGTGTTTTCCGGCTTCGTATCGAGATGCGTACAGTTGTAGCGCTTTATCAGTTGTTTTGAATAAATCCCGCAATTTAATTCATAGACCCGTTGAGTTGCATCGAGAGTTCTACCAGGGAGATATCGTAGCGACAATTCATAATTTCAGCGACTTGCTCATATCTTAAATGTTCGTGATTTTTGCCTTCGCAAATTCAGTTCCTTTCTTTCATAATAAATTATTGTGACAAATCTCCGTGATCTCAGTCCGATCACATTGCGCTAAAAACCGGCTTAATTTCGTAATTGCTTGCGTTTGATGGTCCTAGATATCACATAATTGCTTCAAAAACTTTGGCTTCTCCAAGTAA